TTCCTTTTTAATCCACTAAAATTCAGTGCTTATTAATTACAGACCTATATGTTTATTTTTTTTATTTATTCATTTGGCCTTTTAAATGTACATTATAAATTCATCAACGGACTTTAGAAACCATAAGTGAATTTACTGCTAGAATCCCCAGGGACTGGCAGTACCCCTTTTAAATGGTGGAAATTTGACCTTTAAAATGAAGTCACTCCAGATTACAACAACCTGAATCTATCATATACAAAATGATTTCCATGTTGCAAACTGCTCAGCTGGTTTACAGTAAGGCTCCACATGTTCTAACCTTGCACATACTTTCATTTTACTGAAAACATGAGCACTTAACCTGTTAACTGCTGGAATCCATTGCATTGAATATATCCCAAACAGTATTTTTAGACTAGAAGACTGACACCAGCATTTAATTCTCATATCCCTGTACTTTTAATTCCCAGCTGTGGACATCAAATATCAATGGGTAACGTCTATCTGATTCCAGCATATTTTAGTGATGTCACTTTAAGCACTTCCTTGTGAGATGAGGGGGGAGCCTAAATACTCTGTATACACAATCCAATTTCTCTCAGTAAGCCACTCAATACACAGGAAGTCTCTATATTTCAGCCATAGAGACATGTGTTTAAACCCTCCTCCCCAGGGAAAATTTTAAACTGGAAAGCATTGCATTTATACTCACACGCACACAAGCACACAAACTCTCACACGCATGTACACACTGTGTTTGAGATTGCATATTATAATGTTTGTAATTTTATTACACATAAAGGCACACATTCTAAGTAAACCACTTCCCTTTTTAGAGGATATTTAAGATGAATTCTCAGTGGCTTCTAAAGCTACATTGCATTACACACACACACACTCACACGCTCTCACACACGCATGCACACACTGTGTTTGAGATTGCATATTATAATGTTTGTGTTTTTACTACACATACATGCACAAATTCTAAGTAACCCATTTCCCTTTTCAGATGACATTTAAAATAAATTCTCAGCGGCTTCTAAAGCTACATTGCATTACACACACACACACTCACACGCTCTCACACACGCATGCACACACTGTGTTTGAGATTGCATATTATAATGTTTGTGTTTTTACTACACATACATGCACAAATTCTAAGTAACCCATTTCCCTTTTCAGATGACATTTAAAATAAATTCTCAGCGGCTTCTAAAGCTACATTGCATTACACACACACACACTCACACGCTCTCACACACGCATGCACACACTGTGTTTGAGATTGCATATTATAATGTTTGTGTTTTTACTACACATACATGCACAAATTCTAAGTAACCCATTTCCCTTTTCAGATGACATTTAAAATAAATTCTCAGCGGCTTCTAAAGCTACATTGCATTACACACACACATACTCGCTAGCACTGTTTGAGATTGCATATTATAATGTTTGTGTTTTTATTACACATACACACACATTCAAAGTAAACTACTTCCCTTTTTAGAGGATATTTTAGATAAATTCTCAGCAGCTTCTAAAGCTACAATGTAACACACACGCAGACGCACACTTTACGGAGATTGCATATTATAATGTTTGTTTCTATCACACATACATACAGACATTATAAACAGACCACTTTCATTTTTACAGCATATTGTAAGATAAATTCTCAGTAGCTCCAGAGCGGTTAGGCAACATGTACTCTTAAAAGACAATTTTGAAAGGGCAACACCTATTATGAAAATGTTCTTATACATTTCCTCACAGTCAGTAGGACAAAATTGTGATATTTTCAGTCATAACGTCTTACGTAGTCAATATACAGCTAAAATGTATTATAACCTGGTATTATAATACTTTTACACGACTGGGTTATTCTCTGAATTCCCAATTGTAGCAAATTAAAATATAAAAGACAATATTATTTACGCTAAGTAAAATATTTTTTTCCCAAATACCAATGGCTAGTGTCGAGTGAAAATTGTGAGAGATTTTTTTTTTTTTTTTTCACGATAACTGGGTACTGTAATAATGAAGCCACTTTAACTGTGATAAACTTAAATATTTAAGTGTTTTATTGGTGCTTAATTATTATTATTATTGGTCCTTTTAGAACTGTGGACTATGCTAGCGCATTCAAAATTATCCCAATGCTCATGATGTACTTTATAAATTTCTTTTGAATTTAAAGTTTCCACTAGCCATAGGCGAGTAGAAATTCACCCCTAATCAGTGTGCCATGGAGCCTCTAGACTTGCGTTGGCAAGTCATTTTTAAGGCTTTATTTTTATATAAATTAAATATTACATTTTTGTATCTAGCATGTGTTTGTCATAATGAGCATTACTAGTTTGCAAAGACTTTTGGGGCTTGAGCCCAAGGTAAAACTTGATGACTACCTTGCTACCCCACATCATATTGTCCCTTTATTTCATTAATTCTAGCTCTTTGCCCTACACTTTAATGTATCTAAACTCCAGATGTAAATACCTTAAACTGTGTCAACTAGTAAATATTCCCAATCCCCTCATCATATTAATGCTTGAATTCACCTACTGAGTTATACTAAAATGAGAATTCAAAGTGAATTTAAAATAGACTAATCGTAAAAATTGCCTTAACTATGTTAACTATGCTCCTCATTTTTTTGCCCTAACATTTACAATCTCTTTGAATTCACTATGAATTCTCACTTTACAGAATAATCATGTTCGTTTGCATGTGCTCCATATGCCCATCAATTGGATATCCAAAACAATCTGTAAACACACATTCGTACCTACTCCCACCAAAGACTGATCTTCAATATTCCCAACAGACAATTGGTGATGTTGCACTGTTACCCCATGTATTTTAGTCTTTATGTCTCCCTTTATTATGCTAATAAACATAATTCAGGTTGTGTGGCTGGGTGGGCCTGCACTGAATACCTGTTATAGCGCATGTGTTTGTTTATAGCTATACAAATGGTTTCTAAACAAGTCCTCAAGACACACCTGCCAGTCCAGGATTTAGTGATTACCCAGTTGTGTCAAGGTGTAATTAAATCCTGGACTTGTCATGCCTTGAGGACTGGGCTATGCTTTTGCCGAGATTCTGGCACACAGTTTTCCATTGCTTTCATAATATATCCCTGCTTATTTATGTAATGTCATCATAATTCTACCCATGAACAGTGTTCCACCTCTGCGCACCATATTCTCAATAAAATCTGAAAAGATAAGCCAATACTGCAATCTAAATAATACAGGGGGTGCAGCACTGTCTACTACAACCCCAATGGGCAGCTGCATTGAGAAGTACAAATACACAGAGCTCTAAAAAAAAAAAAAACTGTGCATCAGGGATTTCAGCCCCTAACCACCCCTTCCCGACATGCATACCTGCATCATGTCGAAATCTTGATTAAAATCTAATTTGGTTTAGTTAACACAAGTATAATTATTGTTTCTGAACAGACTACTTGCTAGGAATAATGTAGGCTAAATGATCGACTGGGATCTAACCACATACAGAGATTTAACATGGTGAGCAGGGGACACTGCTGGTAATAAAAACAAACCACTTCTCTTTTGCTGAAAAACAAACCAGAAACTTAGAATGTGACGGCAGATAAGAACCATTCGGCCCATCTAGTCTGCCCAATTTTTAAAAATACTTTCATTAGTCCCCGGCCTTATCTTATATCTAGGATAGCCTTATGCCTATGCCACGCATGCTTAAACTCCTTTACTGTGTTAAGGAAATTAAAACGGCAACTCCTATGGTGCTTTTGTTAGTCTTACAGAAAAACATGTAAGCTGCGTGTCTTACCTTTTTTCTTTTTTTATTGGACTAACATAATTCTTAAAAGACAAGCTTTGGAGAGTTTTCACTGTCTAAACTGGTCTTTTAATTATTATTGTTTTTCATTATTATTTATATATGTTGGAGGATAGCATTGTCTTGCAAAGACTCGCACAGTAGACACATACTTGATAGCCTCTACTCCCACAGGCTGCTCTATTTCAGATCTCCATTTACCAGCACTGCCATTTTATTTTATTTTTTTTAAGTATATATCTGGCAAGATTGGCTTCAGAATTGGTTGCCACGCATGCCCACGGTGTACGTTTCCCATAGCAATCTGTAATACATTTTGATATATATATTTTTTCTTTTATCAATTTTTTTTTTTTTTACATTTTTATAATGACCAGAGAGGCCACTTCAGCACCACTTTTAATGGCATATAGTGAATGTTATTGTGAGGGAATGTGGGAATAATAGGTACTTGGATGGAAATTTTTATTTATGCTGTAAATTGGGCTCAGCGGCTCTGCCACCATGAACACTTTCAGGACAAAGTGGGGGATATTTACTAAATGTGAAACTGCCACAAATTCAAAGTGAAAAAAAAAATTTCTCATTGTAGGCCAAACCATCTGAATTTGGAGATGAGAGAGAGGAAAAAATTTTTGGCTCTATTTTCATTAATTGTACTTAGAGACTAGAATGTGAAATCTAATTTTTGAATTCGTGACAATTCACACTTTAGTGAATATCCCTCTGTGTAGCCAGCTGGGAGGTGACTCCTAGCAGCGATACGGCCGTTGCCTTTGCATGCCGGGACTTGTAGTTCCTGGCGGCTCTGGCTCCCGTACAAAGACTATTGAGGAGTGACACCGCCAGGACTACATTTCCCATGACCTCGCGCCCACTACCCAAAATAAGCTTATTGGAGAAGCGTGTTAATTCGCCGGCCAGTACTGCAGCCATGCCACTCAGTTTAAATACATATATTTTAAAAATGAGTTTTTATTTCAAACACTGGGCATGAGGCGGGCACAGTATTATGCGGGCGGTTGGCATCGCTTCAAACAAGCTTGGTATTGGCCAGTGTCGCCGTCACTCTACTTTCTCTGACTGACGGACCGCTCAGCCAATCGCCGGCCAGCTCGAGTTCCAAAATCCCCGCGGCAGCCAATGGCGACGTTCCCTGGGCCGGTAGGGGGGCGGGCTGTGGGCGGGGCTAGCAGGTTAGGTGGTTCGGCAGCCGCTGTGCTGTGGCAGTGAGTGGCCGGTGCGGGCGGCGATGTGACGGGAAAGTTGTGGCACTCTCCAGCGCGGGCACTGCCAGGCGGACTTCGCCACACAGGGAGGGCGTGGAGACAGAGACAGACACCCACCGCACCCCCCGCGGCATCGCCTCGGCCGCAGCCAGCCAGCCAGCCAGCGGCTCCCCAATGCCAGCCATGATAGAGAAAGGGGCTGAGGTGTCGGGCAAACGGCGGGGCAGGAACACCGCGACCAACACCAAAACTCTGACACCGATCGGCAACGGTAACAACGCGTGGGAGGAGGGGGGGAGCAGCAGCTCCTCCAGCGAAGAGGAACACGGTAAGTGAGCCTCGGGGGAGGGTAGCCTCGAACTCCCCCCCTCCTCCTCCTCCTCCCCCCCCAACTCTGTAATTATTATTATCATTGTTATTATCATTGGCAGTGTGTAATAACCCTCTACATTGCTCTCTGTCCTCAGGTGGTGGTGGCATGCGAGTGGGGCTCCAGTACCAGGCGGTGGTGCCAGAATATGACCAGGGTAAGAGATCCAGCACTATTGTGTGGGGAGGGTGGTAGCCTCGAACTCAACAACACTTGCCACTTTCTTATGGTGGCATCAACTAACTACTAGGTCATTTAAAAATATATATATATATATGTTAGGAGAATTTAATGAATTTTTTTTAAAATACCTTTTTTCTTTTTTGTTTTGTTTGAAGTATTGATTAAAAAATAATTTTTATTTTTTTTTATAGAGAGAGAGAGAGAAATCAACTTTTTTCTATTTTTTTTTTTTTTTTGGTGGTGGTTGCACCTACTGTTCAGATAGAGAACAGCAGGCTGGAAAACGTGTTCAGTAAACGTGCCACCAGACTTGTGCAAAAGAAAAAAAAGAAAAAGGTTTTTCATGTAGAATTATGCTTTTTAAAAATTATTTTTTTTTTTTAAAGATTTGTTTTATTTAAATTCTGATTTAGTTACTTGAATTTGCCCATGATTGAGGTAATTATGGTAAATGTGTAGTGTGTGTGTATATATAGATGTCATTTTGGTTTATTTTATATGCCATGTATATTTCTTTTCTATACATATGTAGCATTGGAGTTTTAATAGATGGGGGAGAGGTTGTTATTTATAACATTTATTTGGGGTGCCACTGCCTAGAGATTGTAGTGCACTGTGGCCATGTGTGAATGTCGGTTGTTGCCTTTTCTAGTTTTTTTGGAGTATGTGGGAATGCCATTGCTCAAAGGTGTATGATACAGTCTGTAAAGGCAGAACGTGCAGACTTTTAAATACAAGCCCCCACCCCCTGCTGATTGCATTTGCATTGATGGCAATGTTAACTATTTGATTGCTATGTTAAAGAGCCAATCTGTGTTTACAGTATATAGCAATTATACAAAAAGATATCTTCTGGAAGAACGAAATATGGACTGTATATTCTTTCATTTTCCACTTGGTGCAAAATTAACACATTACTATGTCACTTAATTCATAAGTTGAAATGCATTTGCTAAATGAAACCAATCACTTTATGCTCATGGCTATTGTGTTAATAGTACTGCTTTTTGCCTGCTTTGTTTAGGTAAGCTGTGAAAATCACTCCCTCCTAGACACTTAGTATCTGTTGATTATTATTTTTTTTGCAAAATCAAAAGGGACAGTGGGGTATAAATCAATGAAATGGAATTTTTAGTTTCTTTATTTACAAATTTTATAACTTGTTAAGTTGTGTATTTTGTTAATGCTTCATTTTAGTAAACTTTTTACTGGTACTTTCCCACCTGCTGTTTCAATGGCTTTGTGTATGTCTAAGCTAGCTCCCCCACCCCCCCTGGGACATTAACCCCTTCACTGCTGCTATTTATTTGTAAGGGGGGGGGGGGGGAAATACCATAACTAATGTATACATTTATTATTTGTCTGTATGGGGGTGGTGAAGGCCAAAAATATATACCCTATATTATTCAAATACAAGCAGGATCAAAGTAAACTGTAGAATATGGATAACTTTTGGTGGGTATGCTGAACTTATTAGTTATTGACCCGTTTTAGAACAGAGACGCCACTATCTTGTTGCATGTATCTCGTTGTGTGTACCTTAATAGCTATCGGGGTTTTTTACTAAAGTAAGAATTCAAAGTAAGTCTTAAATTTAAACAAAAACTATAGCGTTGGGTATGCAAACCTGTGCCTATGTCTCTAGTTGTATTCCTGTGCCACCTACTTTTTTTCTAAAAAAAAAAAAAAAAAAGTGAGAGAATCAATTTCTAGTGGCGGTCTTCCCAATAGCCACGAGAATCCTATCCGCAGCAGTGTCTGAGTAAAACCTTATGCACATGTGCCACAAGAACATCCCAGCTTCCCAGTCGGAAAGTGTTCATTGTGTTTTTACGAACTTCCCGTGCCCAAGATTTACTCTGACACTGCTGCGGATATTCTTCTAGTGGCTATTGGGAAGACCGCCACTAGAGATTTATTTTCTTAAAATAAATAAAACTGCAATGTTTTACATTGCATGGTAAAATGGTCTGGGGGAGTTGTTGGAGTGGAGAACCCCATATTATGGTCCTACTCTTGTTGGTTCTATGAGTGTCTTGGCCACAATGTGAATCTTTGAGATTACGAGGCAGTTGTCTGATGCTATAGAAATTACATAGAGCCATGTTGTTAAAGGCTTCTGTTCCTTGGATGCATAGCCACCATATTAAAAATGGAGGCCTTGTCTGTGTAAATATTTTTTTTAGTGTGTGTGTGTGTGTGTGTGTGTGTGTATATGTATATATATATATATATGTATATGTATATATATATATGTATATATGTGTGTGTATATATATATATATATGGTGTAGCTTGTCCTATGGGTAATTATATTAGTAAATATTGCAAAATATTTAGGTAACAGCTTGACATAGCACAGCAGCCAAAGAGAAAAGGCTAAGTATTTTGTATAAAACTCAGTGAATTTATTTCTTCCTTGCTTTCTGTGTATGGCTCTGTTCTTCTAGTGTTTAAAATATTTGAGAGTTGTGTAGCTTGCTCGCGTTGTATCCATTTCACAGCAGTTTCCTCTTGCACCCTTTAAGGCCTTCAATCCATTTTGAGTTTTCAGTCTCAATCAGTTGTGACTATTGATTTGTATATGGTTGAATTTGTTCTAGGATTAAACCATAGTGCTGTATTGTGAGTGATCCATATGTTCGTCTTGTACCTTGATACCCTCCATTACAAATGCAGTGGACCAGTAGGAGGAAAGAACCGTATACAGTTTGCTGCACAGATCCTTTTGCACTCTTATAGTGCATTAGGTGTAGTTGTGCTGTGGCCTTTTGAGTGTCAAAGAACTGTGTCAAAGCTTGGAATTTCTAGTTATACCACAGATCCCGTTGTAAATGTTAGTTCCCAGATCTTGCCTTTTTTCCCTCAGTAGGTTGCATGGTTAACATTTGTGTGCATATATTAACACTCCCACAGATTTTATAGTTACTTCCCTCTCAGGAACATGAAAGGTGTTATTACTACTAAATGACATTTCTCCATCTTTCAGGCAAAACTTTCTTTTTTTTCTGCTAATTGACTTTTGGGCAAGGTAGTTGAGCTGGGCAGTGAGCTATGCATGGCAAAATCCAGTCACATACCTTGTGGAAAAAACATACCTCTAGAACCCAGTTATGACCCCTAAATATCCTAGTGATTGCTCCTTTCTGTTAACACAAGATTACATGTAATAATTGCATTACTTTGTACTGCATAGTTTCAGTACTTTAGTACATCTCCTGGCTTACTATGGTGGGGAGGGGGGTCATCATCTCTACTCCTCTTAAAAGCACCATACCTGGTTTTTAATATCTGAAACCATCCCATAGAGCACTTTTGTGATGTCTGACCTTTGCACACATCATCAGGATTCATGATCACATCATATACTTATGCATTTTGTGTGTAATAAAAAATGGTTTTACTAGGAAGAGTGAGTCCAAGCTACTTTTAGATGCCTCACCACTAATGCACCATAGAACACAGCAAGGAATTGCGTGGACAGCCGCATAGGGTCCTCCACGTAAAATGGTACATACTGCAGTTGTGGTGTACACTTACTACTGCTGGAAGCAGTGGTAGTTCTATGCTGTGATTGGCAGCGGCTGCAGCGCTAGTCATTTACTGTACTCCATGCTTTATGGAAGTCAATCACAGCAATGGCCTGCTTTAGCCGTCACCGAAGACATTGTGATTACTGTGAGGGCCAATCTTCTGAGCAGATCATGAAAACGGTTACTTAGGGTTAGTTAAAATTTGTTAGGGTTATAAATAATGTTAACGCTTAACATTGGTCGGTGTGTGCTGACACAGTGTCCTTATACCAAATAGTGTCTCAGGAATAAAAAGGAATGTAACAGTTCTGGTAGGTTTCTGATTTGATACTATTTCCCCGAAACATGGTTAAGGTATCTATGTGGGGTGTTGCTGTACTTGGGATATGTAGCAGAATGCAAATCTGGGTCTTGGAAATTTGTAGGAGCCACAATGCTTGTAAAATTTCAGTTACAGTTCAGTTTGTCACTAATATTAGCAGGAAATGGCCAAGGGAAGATACTCAAACTGCCTCATTGAATAGGGCAAGTTGTCTTCTATTACATATGGTGTACCATAATAGTGGTAAAGTACAGATGGGGGCTGCTATTTTGCCTTAAGTGATATGGGCCCAGTACATCAGTGCAAGTGTAATTTGACTCTGTAAGTTCAAACTTTGGCAAAGATTTGAATAGAGGAGCTAACGCTGTGCTCAAGGGAAGTAGCAGAGTACAAATCTGGGGTCTTTACATTAGTGGGACATAAACGGTTCTGTAAAATTCATCCAGGAAAATTAAACATGTAAGTGAAAAACAGAAACATTTTTTAAAACTAGCAGATTTAATGGTTAAATAAAAAGGGTATTTTAGTTGGGGAAACCAGGGGCCTGATTTCTATAAATATGTTTTTGTGTATTGATTTTGGATCCTGTTAATGCTAATAAAGATCTAGTAGGAGAACAAGTTGTACCTAGGTCACTTTTTCTGAATGAGGTATAGTGGCCCTGTCCTTTTAACCCTGAAATGTAAAACATTGCCATTTTGGAGATCTGTGTTTTATTGCAGGGCTAAACACTAATGGCTGTCTTCCTGAAACATAGCTGGATTGGAGAAATGTTCTAGTTGTGAAATTAATTTCTGATAATTCCCATGTTGATGTATAAAACACTTTCACTTTGAATATCCATTCAAAGCACGTGAGAGAGGAAACCCTGCTTGCTGTTTCATGGACAGGTGTGACTAAGTTAATTTGTGAAAGTGCTGATTTTTCTAGATACCTGCTTCACCTCCCACATTCTTCAAATCAATAATTTAATCTAATAGCCACATGCCCGTGTGAGATAACTCAAACAGATTAATACGTGTGGCATAGTGCTGGCTCTTGGATGTATGCTAGGCTAGTATGCGTTTGTATGCAAGTATGAATGCAAAGGAAAATGAGGAATTTCATGAACTACGTTGTGGTATGCGTGAAAAACTCACTAGAACCCCTCGTTTAAATGGGAACAGGGCAGAGCTGCTTGACTAGGATAATTCTCACAGGACCAAACTTGCAGGAGACTTTGTAAACAACTTTGGTGTCATGATTAGACAAAGGACAGGGTCAGATACTATGCAGTATACATATAGTCCAGATAATCTAATCCGATCTGAGGTTTGTGAAGGTGGCAGTCAAGATAAGCAGACCTGGATAAATTATTTTGGTCTTTGTAGCAAAAACAAAGATAACCCAGAAATAACCAGATGTTGGCAGCATTGAGCGTTTTTTGCCGGGTGAAAAAAAGGTGTTTGCTTTGAGACACCAGTCACATATGGGTCTCCTGTCATGTCCGCTGCAGCCATGCAGCTATTTTTGCCACCACGTGTTTTAATTGGTTTGCATTTTAGGGAATGCTCTACATGTTGCAGTATTAACTAGTTCCTTAGGGTTGTACGACCAACGTAGTTAATTTATTTTTAAATCCCCCTTCTCAAAGCTCTTCTTCTTATTTTCATCAGTGTTATTTTGGAGTAGTTGCAATAGAGGCATCAAGACTGTTTTCTACTTAGCTGTATTTTGATGCCATCTTATTGTATAGAGTCTACTTTTGTTTTCATTCCATATGTTTGCTTTATATTATGGTAACCTCTGTAGTCGTGCATTTAAAGGGTTGTTAGGCTGATGAAGTAATTGTCTCTGTTTGGCCAGATGCACCTCCTTGTATGGAATGCATTGATATACTGATGGTTATACTTTGGTAAAGCATACTTCTATTTCGATTATATATTTTTATTTTTTTTGTAATAACCTTAAATAATAAATATTCATTTTATGTATGTTCAGTTGAAGCAGTATATTGTGTTCCAGGCCTAGTTGTACAATTGAATATGTCAACATGCTAGAGTGATGATTTAAGCATCTGACCAAAAAATAAATGTTTCCTTTAGGATCATAATATTTTTACTTTCATAACATTTTAGCCCATTATTATGTTGTTGCATAGTGTTAGCAGAAACGTTTAGAATCATTGACTGCTAAAATATTAAAAACTTGCAGTCTTGTAATGGCTTATACAATACAATGGTAAATATAGAAAAAGCAAGGAAAAAAAAACTGATACTTTGTCTATATTTATTATAAATACTACTTACTATGCACTGCAAAACACACAATGTAAAAACAAGCATTTCTGTGCATGCTCTGGGGTAATCCTGGAAGCTAGTGAAATACTCTACGCTTTGTTACAGCAGTTGATCCCGGAAGACCAAGTCGGCATCGTTCCAGTACTAGACTTAAAAGGGAAAATATTCTTGCACTGGCTTACCATATGATTGCTTTTTTTATTTATTTTTTTTTTTTTATCACCCCAACAAATACATATTTTGGCATTATTCTGGTAAACATTTCCATAGCTTAACAGAATGCAGCATCTACCTAGACTGTCATATCTTTTATAAGACAGAGTGGAAGAAATTGAATTTTTATTGTCCCTTCCAGGAAGCAATTTACAACTTACCACAGCTCACATCCTAACCCAGTCAAACAGTAATATTTTGTCAGTATCCCAATTTAAAAGAATTGGGAGGTGCCTAACCCAGAGGTAGGTAATTTTTTGAACTCCAGATGTGGACTACATCTCCTCTAATGCATTGCCAGCGTTTTGGCTGTATGAGCATTATTGGAAATGTAGTTTACAACATCTGGTGTGCCGAATGGTTTCTACCTCTGGCCCAACCCCTGAACTATTTGAAATCTCTGTAATCTAGTAAGTACACCTCTTCCTAGGACGATTCTGTCCAGAATGCCATCAGTGGGTTATAGTTTTATATATATCATGAACCCTGTAAAGTAGGAGACCGACAAACCACACATGCCTCCTGATTGGAGTAACCGTCTTGGAATGGGAATGGGTCGGTTCCAAGCTTCTTTATCTTCATTCTACAGTTGTTTTATTTCTTTGCCTTGTGGATCCAACTTATTAAAGTATTTGGTACTACTAGAATTTAATTCACATATGCCATTTTATATGGTTGTATAATCATTACAGCTGGAGATAGGACAAGTTGTTGTTTTTTTTTTTCTCTGCAATTATACATAAATTTTTGTGATCTCAAATCCCAGAACTTTAAATCTAGTAGTGATAGCTATACTCTGCGCTGCTTATGTCTACATATTCACCTGACCTTCATACTGGCCGAGCATTATGGGAAATGCAGTTCAGACTTAAAGGGACAATATATGCACCCAGACCACTTTAGCTCATTGAAGTGGTCTGGGTACAATGTCCCTATTTCACTTTGTGTTGCAATGTTTACATTGCAACACTAAGTCTGCCTCCAGTGGCTGTCTACTAGATGGCTACTGGAGGCATTTCCTGGATTCTAACGGACCTTTGGTCCGGTAACTAACGCTGGATGTCCTCAGGCTCTGCATTAAATGCTTTCCTACTCAAAGTACCATGACCACTTCAATAATTTGGTCCTGGTGCTTGAAATCTATGTGCAACTTTTCATTATGAAATGCTGCATAATACAGCTGTAGCCCTTTTCTGCTGGTGGTGTAACACTACCCCAGGTAGCAACATTAGGGCCATCCAGGAGAAGGACCAGCACATTAGGGGTTAGTCTGACCAAAAATGTATTAAAATGTGTTTTGTGTTTGGTTGGAGTAACCCTTTAAGGAAATGAATGCACTGTAGGAGAGGAAATTGAATTTCTCTCAAGCCTGTGCTCACAATGACCGTGTAAAGTCAAGTAGAATCTGCTATTTTAGGGAAACTTTTGTTGAAATCTTGTCGATCATTGTGTGTTTGACAGGTGAGCATGTTAATCATAGCTAAAGCAGTTTCTGGTTTTCGCAGATTAGTGGACAGTTATTTACAAAGTTTATCATGGTAGAAAGATGTCGGTAGCAGATGGTAAAGTTTTGATTAAACCTGCAATGTATTTTGTAACTAGTAAAACACTGTGTGCTAGTGTCAGGATATTACATTTTCCAGCATTTTAACTACTAGAAAAACAAATCTGCACAAAATGATATGTCAGGTAATAGAGAAGACTGTAGTTTATAAAGCACACAAATTGGATTTCAGCTCCCGGTTAATGGAAGTATGTCTGGAATATGAAAATGAAACTACTTTATTGCTTTAGTTTGGAAGGTCTTTATGAATATTATTTTTAATATTTTTCTGTTAACAATTCAGTAAACTTTATTTTTATTTTTTATGTTTTCCCCTGTACTCTAACTGGAGAAGCTATTCACTAGATTTTAGCAGAGTGTATTTTAAACCTTGTGTGGCAGGTTTCGTCCCATAGTGGGTTTAAAGTTAACAAACATTTGTTGATGCTTTCGTAGAAGTAAACTTTTAAAAGGTATTTACGGTTAAGCAATATACAATATAAACTATGTGTATATTTTTGTGTTTGTTATGAATAGTTTATGCAAAATCTATGAATTTTTACATTAGCTACAGTCTACATAAACTATAACGGCTGTGTTGTACTGGCTAATTTCTCTTTGCAAGAAGCAATTAGTTTGTTGGTGATTTTGGCAGTAATATTCCTTCTTAAACATGGAGGCACTGTCACAGGCAGTTAAATCTCATGTCTTAATGTGTTAGTCTAAAACTTTACCAAGTGAGATTCTATATTATCCTTCCTTTCTTATAACTTATAACTGTAGCTCATGTTATATGGGAATAGAATCTTCTATTCTATTTGAAATTAACAGTAGATTTTGTTTATCCTGTACAACTCTAGAGAATTATGACCACGATATGTTTATTTTTAATTATCAGAATTTATTTCAATTTAATACAAGCTAGCAAATTACAAACTCGATAACCCACCACCACCACCACACACACAAAAAAAAAAATATAGTTTGTTTTTGTACATAGATTTGAGTTTTACATTTGAACAAAACTGATAAAAACAATACATTTGACTTCATTCTTTTTATTTTGTAGGAAAGTTTTTGGAAATCTCCAATCTGTATTTTTGTTTTGCATATTTATTTAACTTGAGTAAACACCTAAACTCTTTTGTCGCTATTTCATTTACCATGGGGAATATACGATAGTTACTTAATTTGCAGCAGCACATTTGGCAGTTGGTTTGTGACAAGATTATGAAAATGAGAAAAATTATTAAACTGAATGTAATAGTTATACTAACACTATAGGGCCTTATAACCAAACAATTCAACACATGATTACTGGCTGTGATGTTAGCCAACATGAGAAAAAATACAATAATGCACAATGACCTAAAATAAGGTGGAAAACACATCCAATAAGAGCAATAAACTCAAAGATCAGAAATCATTCACATCACAATAAAGTTCAAGATGCTTTAATGATAACCATTGTGAATTTTGATACTTTCCCTGCTTTGATGATAACTGCTGTATTTGCATTTTGTTTGTTGCTTTGATAATAAGAGATGCACTGTCTGTAGATAAGTGAACATAAAGTAGCATTTTGTGACCTTTTGCAACAAATGTGCATCATCCTTCTAAATGGCTTTAGTAATGCTAGGGCACTTACGCAATCTAACTCATTAAGCCCTGCACGGCTGGCTGTAGTTGTTATGGTGCTTCGAGTGCTCCTTTAATATGAAAGAGTTAAGGAATGGGTTGACATAACCCAAGGCTGTATTATTGGTGGTTTATAACCAAGTCACTACTTTCTGTTTGTATGTTTACTATTTATCACATTAGGTGAAGAGTGTTTGGAGGCTCTGTAAAGTATTATATTTTGAAAGATACTTTAGGCTATGCAATAAACGCATATCAAACAAAAGCTTAGAATGATTTTGGGACCAGGAAGAGCTAAAATAAGTACCAGTTTCCTATAGAGGAGGTGTTTTATTGTTTTTTGGGAAGAAAAAGAGTGCTCGATACAACACCAATTCAATATTCCTGTATTTATATAGGACCACGTTTCATGTATATTGATTGCACAGTACACTGTTTGACTTTTTAAGAAGATTTACCTGCAGCTTCCTGACACTCTGTTTTGGTTAGATCACTGTGTTAAACCCAGAGGAGACATTAAAAAGAACACTCTTGCATTAATAATCCGTTTGTCTATGTAATAATTATCTACAAGCAGGCCCTGAATCTATAAGGCACCAGGAACTCCAGCGTTATACTCCCATTACATCCAGCAGTGGCACAGTCACCGCTCTTCCAATGTGGAATAATCGGAAGGCTCTACTGTGTGCCACACAGAACCAATAGTATTCTCATCATAGATAAGCAGTACAATGCTTCACTATGGGTGAATTATTTTTTTTTTTTTGTTAATCAAGTTTTTTATTGAGTATCAGTGAAAACAGTACTGTTGGGCACGCAGGCCCGCAATAATAGGATTTGAGTACAGTGTATAGACCGTAGAGATTCCTACAGGTATAGCATTCAATAAGGAAAACAGTGTCATGTTCAATAACAGTTTACAGTTACAATTTGCCACTTATAACCATTCGTAAATTTCAGGTGCGTTTTCGTTCTCTAGATGGAGTGACGGTGCTACGGCACGTGAGAGTTGTGTGATGGCAGTGCCTTGTTGTCTAAGGCTAGGGTTGTGTGAACAGTGTGTTGTATGTGGTGTTCACAGGTTCGTGTACCCACCTATGGGAGGGGTCTGTTATTTTCTTGTTTACTGCATAAGCGCGTCAGGGTGCGTGATGTCACAGTAGTAGCCAGTGTAAGAGAGTTACACATGGAAGTGATGTGTATATGTAGTACAAAGCACCAAAGTATGGGGATAACATGTCTTGGTTTCGCGGGCTCGTGATGGAACCCGGGTGTATGATCACAGCGTATGAGTAGTATACATCCCTGTAAAGTCCGTAAGCAGGAATAATTAATTACTTTGTCAGGGTCAGTTTGCTGTCAGTGTTATGTGTCAGTAGGGACCGTGGTCTTCAGGAGAAGGGCGGTGATGTCACGCCCTCACTATGGGTGAATTTAACTGCATTTGCTGTTGTCAGGATGACAGGAGCAAAGGCGTTAAGTGCCTCTAGTTGCTGCCTGACAGTCACTAAAGGCTCACTGACAAACACATATAAACATTTGTTACTTACATTTGTTAGAACTACCACACATTAATGCTGTATCTGTGCTATGACTCTTAGAATGTTCCTTTTTAGGGGAAATTCTGAGTTCTGGTGGTTATGGTGCTTAGTATTTGGGTGTCACCTCCCCCTAGATTTTTGTCAAAACATTTTGGAGCAGTCTGATTACAAAAATAAATAAATGGGGTTTTCCCCAGCACCTAAAGCTAAGCCACTTACCTGCATCTTGTGTAATGTAGAAAACTTTCAAGTTCACTTTCATACTTAGGCTGGCGTGTGTGCGTACAAGAGAAATGGCGCAGAAAGGACTTGCAGTTATACAAATTAAATCAGCTAATAGATTTCTCAAAGTTTCAGTGATCACTGATTTTCACCAGATCAATGCAGAGATTTAAATATTTTTTTTGTTTCCCATTTCAAAATTAACAGCCATTATGAATATACCACATTTGTTAAGCGGATTAGTAGCTGTGCAACAAATCTTTAAAACTTGTCTCCCTTTCCTTGACTACCATTTTCAGGAATAGGTGTAACTTCATATCTGTAGGCCATCTCTGATGGGACTGAAAGATAAAATGACTTTAGTCTTAATAAAATGAGTCATCATTTTGCAGTACTTTAAGGAAGCTGCCATTGTTCTTTGTCTCAATTTGAAACAAACATCTGAATTTACATAATGAGTTTTTAATTTTATTAAGAAGATTGGGCTCAGCAAAACATAATCCATTCATTGTGCTGAAGAGAGTCAAAAAGTATAAAAAGTATAACTTTACTGCAGTTACCTCCTGATGTATGGCCATTTGAAATGGAGTTCAGAGGCTTGCTGCATCCTATATGATGTCTTGTGCAAATTTACTAACATACCATATTTATTATTATAGTACAGGGGTGTCCAACAAAAATAAAAGTAGTAGAACTAAAACTCCCTTGATGCATTGCATACCTTTTGAAATACGTTTAGAATGACAAAACAACATGGAAGCTGTAATTTTAAAACATCTGGGGATATACCTTTGGGGCACCCCTGATATACTCTATCCAGCTACTGCAAGCGATTCCCCCTCTTCTCAGACTGAAAGTCTGTGTCTGAAAATTGACAAGTCAGAGATTTCTCATTGATAAGTCTCTCTGGTCCAGCAACTTTTTATTCCCACTTTTCAATGAGTTGTATTGCAGCTCATTGAGTATTAGCAGGCCAAGTGCTGTTTCTGTTAGCGCACTGCAGCTAAATGAATAGTAAGAAACATTCCTCCCCCCCACACACACAACTGTCTTTTAAAGAGGTATTCAAACCATAATTCATGAAAGTACAGTTTTTTGTTTTTTTAAATCAGCACTTTTATAAATTGGTAAAAATGGCACACTTACACCACCCCCATACAACTGCACCGCATGCGCAAATTGCCCACGGATTTATGCTGCAGGAACTGTGGCCTAAGAGGAACTTACATCCACATGTGGTGGGAGTGCCCCACCATACAAAAGTTCTGGGGGGAGGTTAGAAGCTTACTGGCCCAGGTCTTCTGGAGGGCTACGGCCCTTGACCCGTGGACATTTCTCTTAGGCAGACCGATAGATAACTGGCCCAAACACGACCTAAAACTACTCAATAAAATTACACTGGCAACCAGGCGGGCCATAGCACAATACTGGCTCAAGATGCAGCCTCGGATGCAGCTATTTGGAGCAGTTCTTGTCAATTCAGCTCATGTCTGGTTATTTGGAGCAATAATTCTTTTTTTTTTCTTCAGTTATTGTTAAATAAAATCATTACTGTCATTGAGACCAGTATGAATCATTTTCCTATATAGGGAACATTTAGAGCAGAATACACATTGGATTGTAGTAAAGTTGAAAGTGAATTGAAAAATTAAGGCCAATATAGCAAAGAAAATAAAAATGAACTTTGGAACAAATTATCCGATTTTAAACCATTTTTAATCAAAACCTTTTTTGTTTTTACATTCATAACAACTCACTGTTTAGGGCACAGACCTGAAGGTTTTCATTGAATTTGGAAGTTGACTGTGAGCATGGTAATAACCACAGCACGATATTGCTTGGGATCTAACAGAGTCTCTCTTTTATATATTTGTATTGTTGATAACGATTATGGGAGGGGAAAGGAGGAAAGATTTTATTCTCTTTCCTTAAAGAGATTCTATAGTGCCCCCTCTCGCGGGGCTGAAGGGGATAAAACCCCTTCAGTCACTGACCTGAATCCAGCGCCAATATCCCTCAGCGCTGGTTTAGGCTCCTTCCTTTGCCAGCAGGGGAGACCTAATGCGCATGCGCAGCAATGGCCACGCACGCATTATACCTCCCCATAGGATAGCATTATTCAAGGCTTTCCTATGGAGAAAATCTGACGCTGGAGCTCAGTGAGGACGTCCAGCGTCCGATAACGGACCAAAAGTCTGTTTAGATTACAGAAGCCCTTTAGATAGCCACAGAGGGCAGACTTAGAGCTGCAATGTAAACATCGCAGTTCTCTGGAATTGCAATGTTTTACATTACAGCACTAGGTGCAAGAGAGTCACAGAACCCAGACCACTTCAGTTAGCTGAAGGGGTCTGAGTGCCTACAGTGTCCCTTTAAATAAGCTCACATGTGATGATCGGGCAATAATTATTTCCTTTATTTTTGTGTACAGTTATTCCTGAGAACCCACTGACCTATGCTTTTATTTTCTCTGATGTAATGCTCATTCTCCCAACTAGTAGTTTAATTGGTGGCCCGAGGGTGCTTGGAAAGGCAGTTTTTATTTACCAGAATCAGTCCCTCGCAGTGACGGCAATCTTCTTCTATGAAGTCCTTTTTAACTCCCGGTGCTTCATATGTCAGGTGTCAACATCAGCACCTGCGCACAGGGGCAACACAGTCTTCGGAGGATCCCACAAGATCTTCCATATACAGAGCCTTTTCTCTCTCAGCAATCACAATTGATGTTTGTGGGTGAGACAGCAGTACCTCCTCCTTTTGTCAAGCATAGGAAAAATACATAATACAAAAGTCTTTACTTTGTCTTTGTAATTCTTTTACTGGGTTTGAATTTTAGTGAAATTCCAACAAAGACTTTATGAGCATTTCATAAAGATTTTATCTTTATGAAAAGATTATTTGGGGGGGAAGGGAGGGGGGGTGGAGGGATTGTTTTAATGCTACTGAAAGGGCTATTTCTAAGTATTCAACAGGAAAATCTGATACGAGTGGTAGAAAAAGGTTGTGAAACACTGGTTTACTCTGAATGCTATTTTACAGAGACAGATGTCTCCAAGATCTATTGAGTTATTACCGTGCTGAGACTGACTTGCTAGAAAGGAGGAGTTTTTGTTCCTACACACATTGTGGGTGAGCTGTCTGGGAATTATTCGCCTACATTGTGATCCAGACGGCAGTAACCAGCCCCTGCATGATGCCTCTGTTGAGCAAGGGGGGCAGGGAGAACACTGGGGTTGGAACGTTGTGTACTTTTTCCTGAGTACTTCTTTTACCTATGTGAGCTAATGCATTGGGCTGCTTATTCTATACAAATGCTGAATTTAGGTCACACATTGTGTTTTCTCTTATGTTGCAAGCTCCCCTTTAAATGTTCAAATAACTTTTGGTTTAGGATGATACTTACTGCTGCCAATTAAAGAGACATGGGTTTTTTTTGTGGCTTTTCACACGTCTTTTCATTAACTCCCTCAATGCTGTCAGAATCTTAATAGTTTATACATAAATCACAGTTACAGGAGCACTGCATCTGAAATAAAAAAATATATATATGTAAGGTGATAGATCTTGAAAATGCTTGCCATTTTCTTGCCTTGTGTTGGATAATTAAAGCAATAATCAATCTTTCCTCAAACCATGGCAACATTAACAAATGGGTAGATCCCCCCACTTAAGCAGAGCAGGAAATAAAGTTAACTGTTCAACCCCAGTTTTTTTTCTGTCCAAAATTATGAGGCCTACATTAGCAGGCCAAACTGGTATTTGCTGTGTCTGCCTATGGTAACCCGGTGAGCATACAGAGTGTGCACCCTAAGAAAATGTACATCTGAACTTTACTTAAATACTAATAAAAAAAGGGGGGGGGGGAGGGAATACACTTTTCTTAAAACAAAATTTTGCTCTATCAATAATTGGCCACAGAGACCTAAACAGGTGAAAGGGAGAACGATTTGGCATTGAATAAGATGTGCCTAGTAACTAGTGATCAACCAACATTTTTCTGGAGGTGTTGCAGATTATCTTTAGCTGATTACCCATGCCAAAATTCAGTATATTAAAATATTTTAAAAAGCAACCCAATTTCTACACAACTGGTATTGACTGAACATGCTAACCACAATCACACTCCTATCACTGTGGCAGCCAGTACATATTGGCTGCCCCAACTCCTCAATCTTTATGAAAGGCTCGACAGACTGCTGGCTTTTTATTAAAATTCCAATGCTGTCAAAAGCTACAAGACAAAGTAGGAACTTGGGTAGAGGATGCACTGTAAATGTAGAAAATATAATCTCCCATTCCAGGAGCCACATTTGACCTAAGCATCCTTCCTTTTAAAAATGCATGTCTATTTACCTGACAGTGAATGCATAAAGACACAAGCAAAAACATAACCTGTGCCTTATTAGAATGATTTTTATGTTTTATGCAGTCTCCCTCTACCCATTCAATATGCAATGCTTATTTACACTGAATAGACCAGCTTGTCCTATTACACTGGAATGTACTGAGAATTTTTTTTTTTTTTTAAATAATGGGTACCAGTAAGTAAGTGTCCTTTGGAATGACTCCTAACGATATATCTCTGCCTTCTCTAATTGTAAAGCCCTGCTTTAGATGTTGGTGCTATGTAAATAATATAATACGAGCAATAATTGTTTAAATTACATTAGGATAGTCATGCAGTTTTATTTCATAGCAGATCTCATTCTAGATTTAAATTGAATCTTTGTTTTCTTTGTCCCTTGACAGAAGTTGCAAAAACCTGCCAGGAGCGTGAGAACCCTGGCATGTTGGTATGGTCACCCAACCAGAATCTCTCAGAGGCCAAATGTAAGTATACCTTTTTTATTTCTATGCATTACATAGACTGACTGCAGCTTTAAAGCAATGGATGTAGCTGCATTTAATTTCCGGGAGAGCTTGTTACAAAGTTTATTTAAAAACCTCTTTAGCACAGTTATCAAACTGTGGGTGTTCTGGCCATGCAAGTATCTTTCTCTCCTCCATGCTACAGCCTTGTCCACCACAACCATCCTAAGATTTATAGGTGGTACATAGTTAACTAGGTGTAGTATAGGGAACTCACATAACTAATTTTTGCAAAGAGTCAAACCGTGCCTAATATGAAGTTTAAGCAATGTATTTACATCAGTATGCATTCCATAGACCCCAATGAGACTATAATACTTCTCCATTAGCTCAGGGCTGATGGTATATCTTGGTATTTACAGGAATTTTAAAACTAAAATAATGAATTCTATTTTTCCATGCAAAACAAATTGGAAGCCCCTTCCAGAAAATAATGAATTGTTAAATTTATTTACGAAGTTACTCTAACAGAGTAAAGACATATTTAAATACGGTTAACTTCTAACCCAAGTGTGAATTAAAACGAAACTCTGAATTAATATATACCAATACCCACCATGCTGGTATGCAATGTAAAGAATATCTTCAGTTGAGGATATATCCAAGGCTGTGGGTAAGATAGCTTGTAGTTGATTTGGTTTGTGTAAAACTGCATACTTTTTGACCAGTGTCTTCCAAGGTACTGCTTTGAGGAGAAGTGTACATACCTGTAGATCTAGATTAGGTTACATAAGCCCTCAACAATTGTGCCTGTGTTAATTGGAATATAAAATCTGGTTTATTTGTTGTGGGATGTTTTTCCCCATCTGTTTTAAAAAAGAAAAAAAAAATACTGTCATTATGTAATGCCAATATTAAACTGCCTAAGAGACCCAGTTAAAGCGTCAGACAGTTTGGCTACTTACTGTGGGATCGTGCCATGGAACTCCTGGCACCTTAACCGTATGGTGTGCTGTGGTGGTTATGGTGCTTAGACTGTCCATTTAAGAGCTTGTATTATTTTGTTAGACTTTGGACTTGCATGTAATCCAAACCTTTTGTGTTTTAAAATCCGTTCTAGTTCTGAGTACAGGGATGTAAAAAATATACAATGTATGCAACCAACTGGAAACTAATAGCTTATATTATAAGACAAGATATACACACAATGCATTTGGTCAGATTGATAAACCATTGCAAATTTATTTCACAAAGGTTGTTTTGTCGATAGGCCTGTTTTTTATCCACATTTAAGGTCAGAACCAGGGAATCGTTTGGTTTAGTACCAGTCTTTATATAGGATCCTGTTGAATGATATGACTAGTGTCCACTAGATGGCAATAATGATCTTTTGGAATCAACTTGATCTTTAGATTTTTTTTAAAATGTATGTCCTTTTGAAACTTTCAGTGGATGAATATATTTCGGTTGCAAAGGAAAAACATGGATATAACATGGAACAGGTAAGATGACCATTTTAATATGATTTTAAATAACCTTTGTTAAAAGCTAATAGTAATTTTGTAGTATTAATTAGCAAGTTTTTCTTTTTTAAATCTATTAACAATCTAGGCGACTGTACAAGTCAAGTGAAACTGTATACTTCCTACGTTTCCTTTTAATAACTAGCAGTGAACATTTCCTTAGTCTTTTTGTGCTTTTACTCTATATAGAATGTTTGTCCATTTGACATCATCCTAGCTTTGTGCCAAAATGACCGTTCAACATGAATTTGATAAAGCTCAGAATCCATGGCTTTAAAAACCATTTGTGTTCTCGCTTTAAGTTTTATACACACGCACACCAACTTAAAAAAAAAAGGGGGGGGCTCTTTTTTTTTTAAAGTGATTCTTCTCATTCTGACTTGTAAATTGAAGGAAAATAAAAACTACCCCTACCTTTAGCCCACATCTGGTGCTCTGTCCCTGAGTTTGTAATTGTGCATGTCTATGATTTTTGTACCTTCTAGTTAATCCTACACTTTTTTTCTTTTACTGACCCGTGTTCTGTTTTTCGCAGGCACTTGGCATGCTGTTCTGGCATAAACACAATATTGAAAAATCACTTGCAGATTTGCCGAACTTTACACCGTTTCCAGATGAATGGACCGTTGAAGACAAGGTTTTATTTGAGCAGGCATTTAGCTTTCATGGGAAAACCTTTCATAGAATTCAACAAATGGTAAGTTAACATAGTATTGATCCCCTAAAATGCAACAACTCACTTATTGCCAATATAGAGTGCTAGGTTACATTGTTTACAATGTCTGATGTGTATTTTATGCTCACTCTAGATGTTTATGGACTAAATGACTTTAATCAATCCTGTAGTGTTGGAGAAGAATTTATTAATGTGAGAATGCAAAGTGACTTTCAAATTTTAAGGCACGAGTAGTGAAAGTGAAAACAGACTTTGAGAATTGATTCAGTTCAGCTATTTTGCTTGTCAGTCTCTTTTTTTCTATTTAGGTAAATGCATAACATTACAGAAAGGAAAAATTAATGAGAAGCATATATATGATATGGTAATACCTATTTTTTTGCATGATAAAACCAGGCTAAATATACATGTTTGTGCATTGCTAAGAATAAGATTAATTCTGGCTCGCTACGTGCGTCCAGATCATTAAACTGCCATATAGGCTCATATCTAGGTAAACCTTCTGGACACATTAAATATGAGGAGTAGGTTATATAGATCGTAAACTATGAATCCGCTATTGCAAGTACATTCTCATGTCTGCCTATTAAACAGCTGGCATATGGTATATAAACAGGCTAGGATGAGAATAAATCAGGCATATTTAGCCTAATCAGTGGGAGTCTAACCGTGTAAGCATGAGTACAACTTGCCCACTTTGCCACTGAGGGATAATAATAACAGTAGTGAACAATTGAATGCGTGTTAAGCATATAGCAGGATGTTGCAAACTTGTGGTGTGTATAAATTGATTGTGCAAAACATAAAAAGGTAATGATGTGCCTACTGGCTTTGTCAGGATGGGAGTCCAATACCACATGCTAAGAACTTTGATGTGTTAGGTGACTTGCCCCGCACAGGCTAGCACCTAGTGGGTGTTGTGAGTCAAGTGTGTGCGTTACAGGCAGCGCTGCATTGAAGCAGGGTGGTAGTTATAGGGTTTTACGCCTCTCTTGTCTGTCGTGTAACGTAAGTGGCCTTAAGGCGGGGAGTGTCATGTGTGGTGTATAGTAGAAAAACCATAAACATTAATAACATTGGTGTCAATTAAATGGCTCTAAACATAGCTGTGACATTATGGATTCCTGCGTCATGTGGGTCTTGGGGCCTCTCTGGGGTGGGGTGAATGGAGTGACTCTGGTTGGGTCCCAATTGTGCAGAGGCCTAGAAGTGGCATTCGGCTGGGTCCGGGTTACATAGTCCTGTGGTAGGTCTAAGTTCCCTAGTAGCTCTGTTGCTTCTTGCAGGTCCTGGAGACATGGTGTCTCCGTGTGTCTCAAGGAGTGTGCAAGACATGCGCCAGCGTTATCAGATTTCTTACTGTTGTAGAAGCGTGGTAAGAGGCTTAAGGGACCGCCGCCAGGCCCGTGTGCTGCTAGATAGGTCAGCATAAAACGCCAGGGACATGTTTTCAAATTGGTAGTGGGGTTTCCCCCCCTCAGTGCTCTCAGGACTGCCATCTTATCTGCTCCATTTTGAAAGTGGATTATCAAGTCCCTTGGGACAGTGGAAAGTGCCTTGGCAAGTTTGGGGATACGAAAAAGTCCTTCCAGGAGCGCGGCTTTGGCCTAACTTGGTGGCAGCAAGTCCCCCAGCATTCTCCTCATGAGTTGTGGCAGTTCTGCCTCGAGGACCTCTTCAGGGATCCCTCGGATTTTCAGATTGTTCCGGCGGCTGTCTTCCTGTCCCGTGAAGCGGCGTTCGTGTGCTTGATTCCGCCGCCTGTTCCAGGAACTCTATTCGTTGGGAGACCTTGTGTACGGTTTCCTCGAGTGCTCCAATGTGGCCTTGGACAAACCCCTGCGTATTGTGGCTATGTCTGCTTGTAGGTTGATCTGCAGTTCCACCAGGAGCCACTTTAGGACAGATGTAGTGACCGGAGAGGAGTCGGGTTCGGTGGTGGCCTCAAGAGTGCTGGTAGGTGTTCTTCATCCCCTTCAATGGACAGGTAGTCCAAGATATTGGAGCAGCCTCCCGAGAGTGCGCCCACTCATGCCACCCTCCACAAGTCGCCGATATTCATCCCCAGATTGGATCGATCAGGTTTGTTTTTTCTACTTGCCTCCCATGGTGTTTGGGTATTCAGGTGAGGTCTCTGAGGGCCAGTCAGGATGGATAAAAGCCCCTGTAAATGGTATTTTCGTCGCTTAATCCCCAGAATTTGTGACTTGCGACTGTTTGAACTTGGGGGCGGAGCCTAACTGCCAAAGCAGCTATTTTGACTTTACATTTGAAATTCACTTTGAATTCTCATTAAACTTTATAGTCTTCAGTTTAGGAACTGGACATTTGCCCTGTATTGCCTTGCACTTGATAGAAGATGCCATTCATCTGATACACTTTTTTATATTGTCTTACAGCTTCCCGATAAGTCCATTGCTAGTCTGGTGAAGTTTTACTATTCCTGGAAAAAGACTAGGTCTAAAACCAGTGTGATGGATCGCCATGCTCGCAAACAGAAGCGTGAACGTGAAGGAAGGTAAGCCATTACTGTTCATTAAGCTTGCAAAACTATATTCTATATATTCTAAATTCATTGTTTTACCTTCCTGTAGCAAGCCAGACTGTTTGACACCTATCTTACTGCGTGGAAGTAGCATTTGTTTTGTTAATCCTTCTATGAAAAAAAGCTAGCCATGGCTCAGGAGAACATGTTCATAGCATAAAGGATGTTTTGTGGTTTTTGTTTTTTTGGGGTGGGGAAACACTCCAAACATCTAATGCAGCAATCTAAAATTGTAGCCCCCAAGATGTTGCAAAACTACAACTCTAACGGATCTTTTGCCATCTATAGCATTCAGAGAATTCCTGGAGTTTTAGGATATCTCCATCTTGGGGGCTAAGATCCATGCTCTAAAGCACTTAAGGTTACTCAAGTGATTTAGAGGTTAACATAGTGTCTCCTCTTTCACACTTTATAAAAGTGCATATTGCAAGACAAATGGCATTTCACCCTAACAGCTGTAAGACGGTAAGGTGGGTGCTATTCTGGATAGCTTAGTGTCATGGCCCTAAGCAGAAGACAATGCTTCTAGGAGAGCAACAATCTAGTTAAAATTTTAAATACTCAAGCAATACAAATAAAAAGGTTTTTATTTCTGATACATAAGTGTTCCTTTAAAGGAAAACTCCCAATCCATAACAATGTAATCTCTGTTAAGTTTTTTTGGGCAGCGCTTAATCCAGGGAGGTTTGCTAGCCAGTGATAGGATGAGTGGCACAATCCCTCACCAACTGGAAGAACCAATCAAAGTCAGTGGTTTCCAAACCAGTCCTTACGGTACGCCTATGAGTCCAGGATTTAGGGATTACCCAGTTGTGTCCAAAGTGTTTTTAAAAAAAGGAAAAAAACAAAACATCTTGACACAACTGGGTAATCCCAAATCCTGGACTGGTTTGGAAACTACCGCTCTAAGCAATCTAACCACTAAAGCTGTAGTTGGGGAGTTGCTTAGTTTTCCTTGAAATGACCACGTCACACACATACACCACTTCAGCTTACTGAAGTGCTTTATGTATCTGGAGACTGTAATATTTGTGACCCTTTTTAAGAGTTGCAATTTCAATAGAAATTGGCACTTTTATAATTAAGAGCAGAAACACCTCCCAGGTTGTTAGCCAGAGAGGTTTTCTTCAGCTTCCATTTAGAAGCATAGGAAAGCTGCGATCATGTGCGCACTTGCTGCTCGAGCACACATGCTGATTGGAGTATTGCCTGCAGCCTTTGCAAGCCCAAACAGCAGGTCTGCAGCATTTGCAAGCTGGTTTTAGATGTAGTCCCACTAGAGGAAAATTATTTAAAATAATGCAAAAGTAAATGCATGTTTTCATTGGGTATACCGACTAAATATTGCTTGTATTCCAATAGAGTATTCCTTTAAATTTAGTTTTTGTGATGGAAATACATTCTCTCCTTGTAATTTTTAAAACTATTTCTCCTTTCCCTAGTGGTGATGAGATAGAGGAAGCTAATGGAACAAATCCAGGAGCTGAAATCGAGGTTGAACCACAGAAAGAACCCAAGAAAGAGGTATGTTTCAAATAGAAAGTTGCGTGTAACCAGTCATTGTAGAGGTTATTGTCAGACTTATAGCAAATGGTGTAAACCTTTTTCATTCACCATTGTACATTGGAAATGGTGGACAAACAGAGTATTTATGGTACTGGGATTTATTTTATGCAAAACTATAAATTATGGGATATTTTACAAATCTGGAGGATTGATGTTGCTCTCTGAAAACCATAGTTGTAGTTTTGCTGCCTGCAGTGTCCCTTTTAGAGTACTCAAGCCTCTTAACATGCTCACTTTAATAGGGGCAAAATATCTAGTTTGCAATGACCCTACAGCTAGTTTTTGTCTTATTTTACACACTAAACATTGTTATATGGTCTCCATAAACCTACCAACTAGTGAAAGTAGTTGTAGCAGAGTGTTTGATTGTTATTAATTTTTTGTCACAGATTCCCAAAAATGACACGGTCCCTCATGTAAAAAAAGAAAAACACCCATCCCAAGCAAAGAACAGAGCCAAGCGAAAACCACCAAAGGGAATGTTTCTCTCCCAAGAAGACGTTGAAGCTGTTTCTGCAAATTCCAACGCTGCCACAACTGTATTGAGACAGCTGGACATGGAGCTAGTTTCAATAAAGCGACAGGTAAATACGCACCAACCAACATGTTCTCTTGGATATTGACAAGAATATGGACTAATTAAACTTAGCACTGTAGAGAGATGTGTTTTCCTTTTTTATCTACAACACGTACATCATACATCATTTGTGTGTCTTGATCATTTTTCAGTGTGTTTAGTAAATGGGAAATATTGGTGCAAATGCTTCTTATAAAGCAACATGCTACGTTTTTCATGATTTATTTTTTTAAATTCTTGGAGGAATTGAGTACATTAGTGCTTGGCGATCCTAAGAAATATTTGCTGAAATGCTCTCAGGCTTTCTACATGTACACCTGTATTAACGAAGTATTCTCTTGCAGATTCAAAATATCAAACAAACAAATAGCGCTCTCAAGGAACAACTGCAGGGTGGAATAGATGAATTCAGAATTCCCGAGGTAGGCTTGAAAACAGTTTGTGTAAATATAGATAGATTTGGTGGCTGATGCTACTATATGTGTAGATGACTGACTGACTGGATTAAGCAATCTTCTTTGTTTTAATATTTATTACAACTGATAAAAATCTAAGCTAATTTTGCTAGTTTGAATCTGTTCTCATTGCAGATATTATATCATGCCCATCATCCTTTACTGTTATGTCTCCTGTCCTCTCTACATGTCGGGTCATTCACTAGACAAAGAAGTCCCAGTTTAGTAAATAATTCTGCGAATGTTTTTAATAAAACTATACACTTGCAAAATACTGTTCCGTGAGTTAAATTACGTTGAATTTAAACTGTTCTGGATCCATATTAATAATGTCTATTTTCTACCCTTTAGGTCAGCCAAAAGTTTAATGCTAGATGGACAACAGAGGAACAGCTTCTAGGAGTACAAGGTACAGAAAGGAGGGGTTGTTTAATAAGTTTAAAGGAAAAAATTATAAAGCTTCAGCTCTGTGTCCCAGTGAAAGTAGGGGAGATATATATATATATATATATATATATATATATATATATATATATATATATATATATATATATATATATATATATATATATATATATATATAAATAAATTATAGGAGTAGCTTTTATTATTTTACTGATGCAATAACACTTGGGAGAATGTGAGTGCAAGACAAAAATACTACTATAATCTGAAGATTTACAAACTTACTAAAAAGAAAAACAAGTTTAAAAAAAGTATAAAACAAACTTCCAGTAATGACCCTTTTCCTTCCTTTAATTTCACAGCAATACGCAAATATGGACGTGATTTCCAAGCCATCTCTGATGTAATTGGAAACAAGTCAGTGGTTCAGGTGAAAAATTTCTTTGTCAACTATCGACGTCGCTTCAACATTGATCAAGTTTTACAAGAATGGGAGGCTGAACATGGAAAATTTGAGGAAAATGGGGATAGCACACAGAAAACTATAAAAATGTCCGACACTGCTCTTAAAACATCTGACGAAGAGGAAGAGGTAAGCCTTATAGAAATGTATTTTATATGGCGAGATCCAGAACCAAAGTATTCTGCACACACAAATGTTACTGTTTGCCGTGTTAGGCAGACAACACATTGCTTTTTAACCAAGGCAGAATTTTTTTTACAATCAGTGCTTACTGAAATAGTCAAAACTATGGGGAAGGGCGTGTTCTAAAAAGGAATATAGACCACTGTATGAATTCAGATAACAAACACCAAGTAGTTGCAATGAATAAGTAATAGAGCAAGCAATAAATGTTAAAAGAAAGACAACACATTTAGACTGATGCTGTCAAATGGATTAGCGATAAGACTGGTAAAATACATTTTCAATTTGTAAATGAAGACTGACAGTGATTTTAGTTATACATTTGTTTGAAATAGATTTACATTCTTGGCATAACCTTTGTTGCAGTCATCAACTACAGTAGAATTCTTAAAGGGACAGTTGAGGCACCAAAATCACCTCATCTTACTGTGATCATTTTGGTGCACAGTTTCTGCCTCTTGTCTTACAATTCTAAAAAGTGCATTATCTGAGAAACTGCAAAAAAGGGCGCACACATTTGACTTAAAATAAAGACATTTGAAAACCTTTTAGCATTTTAAGCAATCTAGTGCTTTGAACGTGACATTTACTGTGAGGGGGGTGGTATCCTACTATTTGTATAACCGGAATTAATTTGCTGGTGTACATTTACAATGCCAAACAAAGCAGGAACTGTTTTTTCCGTTTTTGTAACACTGGGTGAGCTAATAAGTTTCTTTAATCTGGTAAACTTTAAAGCAGACCTTTCATGATACATTGTACTAGCAACAGTAAATGTATATTTACTCCCCACCTGTCCATTTTTAACACAAACATCAATGCTTTCAAATGGGTGACAAGGCAGCACGACAACCCTTCTACAGCCGGTTCTCCTGCTCTGTCACGGCAACAACAGTAGATGCATTGTAGCACATTTGCACAATATAAATCATATAGCACGTTAGTGGAGTATAGGAATGGAGTGATAGATGTGCCTTCGTTATGCAATGCTGCTCTAGCTATATAGTCTGTCTGGCATTGCATGGGAATTTGTATCAGTGTGGTGAGATTAGTTAAACCCCTGGAATGCTGGCATTAATGTTCAAAAAGATAATTTTTAGGGGTGGTTATTCATTAAGCCTTTTTATACCAAGTTAGTATGATTGCATGGCTACGTGTAGTAATTATTTGGTATGAGATGATTTAAAAAAATATTTCTGTGACAGACAAAATTGCGTATAGCATAAGAAACACTACTGACCTAATCATTCTTCTCCTAATATCTACACTATGTGCCTAACACTATGATGTTTTCTCCCCCCAGGCCTCTGTACTTGATGTGAGATACACGGCAGCCTCATGAAGAAAGAAAAGAGGAAAGAAAAAAAAAACACAAACACACAAAAAAAACTTAATGTTGACTACTTTATTTGCCCAAGAAATCAGGTATTACCAAACCTCAGCCAATCCATCTGCATCCTGTTTGTGGACAAGCAGCTATTTACCAAAAAGGCAAATACTTCTAGCCCTTTGTGATATCTGCCTTAATCATCTTTTACCTACACACTGCTTCCACTCTCATTCAAGAGGCCAGAGACTGATTATCTCCATCAGCGTTCTCAGACTTTGGAACACGAAGAGCTACACTCTGTAAATACACAGATAAGCATATGGCACCCTTTGCTTCTGAGATTGAGCCGCTACCAAAAGAGAATGGTTAAACCTTACCGAGGCTGTATGCATGAACTTTGTGACCTTTGCTTTGGATGTTGTGTTAGCGCTAGCAGAATATATTTAAAAAATCCTGTATTGGGGCAGATTTTTTTTCCCATCCCCATTTTCTTCTTTTTAGAAAAAAAACGTGCATACATTAAAAAAAAAGTGACACTTACTTAAGATGAGTGGTTATAAAAGAGGAGAAAAAAAAACAACCTAAATGAATGTGCTTTTGGTTTGTATTTTCTGTAAAGTATAAAAATAATTTGATATTTCTGCTTTTCAGGAATCTAGTTCTAGCAAATGTACTCCCTTTAATCTATATGACTCCCTACCTGCTTTGTTTATCCATCATTTAAAAATAAATCCTTTTTAAAATTCCGGTTGAGGCAGGGTATTGAGTAATCTGATGGCTGCACATTTTTCATAGTTTACCTTGTTTTTTTGTTTTTAATGTACAGTTTTTAAAATATGGAACTTTGTTTAAAGAGCTGCTCTGCTGGTTGGTCTTTTAAATTGGAATGTATTGTCCTGTCTGTTTTAAAAACTATTATCATTACACTCTAATGTGCAATTTTGGGGTAACTGCATTTTAATTTAATTCTTTTTTTCAAAGATTTGGTGAAATTGTTTAAGATTTTGAACCGAATGCATCATGTCATTTCATAGAACAGTTTTGAAAAGGATGTTTCTTCAACATTATAGGGACACTCCAGGCACCAAAACAACTTACTCTAAATTAAGTTGTGATGGTGCCAGGAGGCCCCTGGAGTTATTCTTACCTCGAGGTGTTTAACCCCAAAGTTGCCTACAGCGGCGATATCCAGCTCTCTGCTAGTCAGTGACTCCCCATTCCCTAATCTGACTTGAAAAGAAACCTACCTTTCTCAAGCCAGTCTAGTGAAAGGGGAGTCATCAATTGGCCAAATCAGTGACGCCCCTCACAGTGGTACCCTAGGCTTCCTGGATCTAGAAATTCAGAAGCCGGATGCCGCCCAGGGGGAATGAACATCGCCACTGGAGAAAATTTTAACCTCTTGAGGTAACTGTGCCTCCAGGGGCCCCCTAGCACAAGAACAACTTCATTTAGATGAAGTTGCATTTGTGCCTGGATTGTCCCATTAATTATTTTATTAAGGAGTGTGTGGTTGAGGAATGAAAGGAAAAAAAGTCAGTTTGTGTGTGCTGGATTGGTGAGCGTTGCATTACAGCCACGTCTCGTCTGGACATGTGATCAGATTTGTTACAATATGCATGCTAAATGCAGTGTCGTTTTATGTGCCTTTCCCATATAACAATGGTTAAAATCCAAACTGGAAGATTTTTTTCAAGGTGTGGGTTTTGTTTTTTGTAAACCTATAAAGCAGATTTGTCACAATTGTGATAAGTGAGTATTTTTGAATCCAGCCAATAAAAGTAGCTATTAATTATACATGGTTCCTTTTTATATACACATGTAAAATTGAGTTTGCTTCCACTGTCATTTCATTTTCCCTCTGCATTCAGTACACATCTTACAGATCTTAAAATCTTACTGAGCAAATTGCTGTTGACAAGTGTTAGAAACTTAAGGGTAATGTATATAGATCTGCGTGATTTTGATCATTAAATTGACACTCGAGGGTGGATACTCCCTCATATTTGTCTGCAATGGCTAGACAATACACAAGCTATAAGGAAACACCATTGTATGAAGATTTGCATTTGCTCATGGGCTTAAACCTGCATGTTCATTCCCTAGCCCACCCCTAGCAAGGTTATCATGTGAATTGGACACTGAAAGATTAAATAGGAGCTGTAGATAGATGCAATGTGCACAGAGTTAACTTGCCACTTGTGGTAATAGGTTCTTTATGGCAGACTGCCTATACATGGTGTTGGAATTTAACTGAAATAGGACAGAAATGGCATAGCTGGCTTATTAATTTCTGGCATCCTTACCTCTTCCCATTAGCAGCAGCAAGCTATGAACACTTGGGGGGGGGGGAGGAGGGTTTGCACATACATTAAAATCGCACACAAGAGACAGCTCCTGGCATGCTAATATTGCAGTGCTAAGGATTGAGAACAGGTCTGTAAACCTCTGTATGAAAGACTAGTAGGCTTTCATACTCTGTGTACAAAGCACTTTAAATATAAACATTATTAAATGGTACTTGTGCAATAAATTTGACTTGCTTTAGGATTGTAGATTAGTGTTGTACACACACATCTCCCACTAAACTTAAATCAAAATATAGCTGTGTGTTTAACACAGTATTCATAATGTTATTAAAGGGATACTATAAGTGTCCGAAATACAAAGCTGCATTCCTGGTACTATAGCTCCCTTGTGCCACCCAGTCTGATAAAAGAGTCAAAATTCTTTACTTACCCCAGCACCAAGGGACATCGGCCCGTGATGAGCCGCCACTAATGCACATGCGCAGAAAACGCCACACATGCATCAGACCTCCCCATAGGAAAGCATTGAATCAATGCTCTCCTATTGGGAGGAGGATGGGGAAATCTGACACTGGATGTCCTTAATAGAAAAATTAAGCAATATTGAAAAAACTTACCATGTTCTCACTGCAGGGTTTGGACAATCCAGGGGACGGGGTTTATTTTGTGTGTCCTGAGTTTCAAACTAAAACTTTGCACATACATAATTCAAACACTATGACTACTTCAAATCTGTAAAGTGGTCATTGTGCTTGGAATAACCCTTCAAATTTGAAATTATCAGTTTAGTGAATGACATTATTATTATGCATGCTGTATTAACTAATTATGATGTACATTGTGGGAAATGTTTGAAACGTTTTGTTGTACACACACATTTTTTCTCTTCCTTGCACTAAGGCAGTTTAAATGTAGGAGTTCCTATAGAGTAGTTTTGGTAAAAGTTGTTCATGCAAGAATAATTTAAGCTCTTAAGAGTAAATCATGGCTAGCATGCAAAAATGATAAAGGAAATTTTCATTCCAACCTGACAATTTTAAAGAGACACTACCCCAAACATTATCCCCAGTGCATCCTTTAGCAGTATAAAGGGGAGGGGGAGTCAGAACTATGTATCTAAAGTGGAATGTTCACTGTCTGGGGTCCTTGTATTAGGCCCCCTGATGGTGGCTGAGGGGGCAGGCAAAGGTGAATTTTACTTATATCAACCTCTCCTGCAGGGGCGCTACAATCCTCTTGCTGTTGCCACTTTTCAGCAGCCAGTAGCAGATGGCAGCCCTGTACTTACATGTGCGAGAGTACAGCACTGAAGTCTATGGAGTATTCAGCGAGACCTACAGCTGTCACTCCGCCTAGTATCAAGCTTTGTGAGGCAGTGAAAACATACGCAGACAAAGTAGTCCCTAGTTTGTTTCCGTAAATCTTTTGACGGAGTTGGTATTTCAGTGACAATCAAAAGATATACTGAGAGTTTTCTAAAGATCAATATTGATTATCTCATCCAATGCTTTCCCATTGGGAGGCTATTGTGCATGCAAGACATGAAAACAATATAAAACTGGTAGCACAATTCTAAAGATCAGATTTCACCCCCACCCCCCTTCCTATTAGCAGTAGCAAACTATGAGCTATGAACACTTTTTAAAAAAAAAAGGGGCGGGGGGAGGAATTCTTCCCCCGTCCCACTCCCTTCATACACGTGTTTTTATACCATGCCTGAGCTTTTGGGCATTTACTGGTATCATGACAACCACCCCACCATAAATAATAACAGGCTTTTATCTGCAAGATATGATTATTCAGGGGTAAGCATTGTATGTGGTTTTTGTCAAGTTAAAAAAGTAAACTTCTTATTAATGTACAGAAACCCACCTTAGAGTGTCTTTTCTGTAACCGGCAATGTCTTGTGTGCTCCTGACCTAAAAGTATAAATTAGCAAATAGGAGTAAGACGTTAAAAAGGTGATTTAATGACTTTAGTCTGTACTAGCCTAACTTTGCTGCGGCTTCCATGCCCATTGCCAAGATTTGATGCAAATGTTTTGACAGTGGATACTTAAGTGTATTAATGAATATAAAACAGCACTTAGCAAACATTAAAATATCTTAACTTTACCAAGCACAAATGTCCCTGTATCACACAAAGTCCTAAAGGGAAACTATAGCTCCCTACAGAAGGGGTTAAAAACCCCTTCTGCCACTTACCTCAGTCGGTGCTGGCTTGGGTCAGCCCGCAGGGGAGTCCCAATGCGCATGCGTGGCAATGGCCGTTCTCGCATTAGGATTTTCCCATAGGAAAACATACCATTCTTTCCTATTGGGATTCGGGGGAAGCAGTTATGCATAGTGTGAGGATGTCCAGCGTCAGGTGACTAAAAGCTGGCTAACACCTCGAAGTCCCTCTAATGGCTGTCTGGTAGACTGCAACTAGCGGTGGAATTAACCCTAAAGGTAATTATTGTAGTTCATTAATAACCGCAATAACTTCCTTTTCTAGGTTAAGGGACCTGAGACACTGCACCCAAACCACTCCACAGAGCTGAAGTCATCTTAACCACCCAGGTTAAATGGCAAGTATGGGAATAGCCAATAGAACACACACAATTCTGTCATCACAAATTTAGTTCTAACAATTTAGAATCCTAAACCTGTAAATGGTTACACTTTATATCCATCTGCAAGGCAAAAGTGATCAGTGCTTTTGTGGAGTTTATAGAATTGTCTACGCAGATATGTTCCTGTAAACCAGGCAAGTTCATTTAGTCTAGGCCAGTGCTGGCTAAACTCTAGCACTGCAGTATAGTCATCGTGAACTACATGTGAGGAGCTATTTAGATCGATATTAAACAAGAACTACATGTGAGGAGAGGACTAGCGATGCATCACAGGAAACCAACTATTGGCAACATCTGTTTTTTGTGGGGTTTTTTTTTAATGCTATAACCGATTATTTACAATCTGTAACTTGCCTGTTTTTAATTTTACCTGTTAACCCATGCATTGATAAACCTGGCCATACCAAATAGCAACTTGTCATTTATTTCACTACTGCCAGGAATATGAAGTACTATACCCATTCTATCTCTAGTGTTTGACGTCCACCGTCTCTCCATTCAGTGTTAAGCCATTCCCAAGTAGCTTGATACTGAATTAGGGTCCCTGGTTTCCCATAGCCCTGTCCCCACTGGAGGTATGTTTAAGACAGATTACAATCTTCCTTCTAGCCATATCAATTCATACCATCAATGGCTACTGTATATAACAAAAAGAAATACAAAACACGAACCCTTGCGCTCAAATTCTTACTACTCCTGGGTGGCAGCAACAGTATAGTTTGAAGCAAGGTGAATGGTTAGTGTAAGACCCACGTAAAAGGTTTGCCTTGACGTGGCAGGTGGGCATTTCCCTCCAATGGCCATTGGAGTAACTAAAAAAACAAAAACCTACATTTGTTTAAATATACATAGGGATTTGGGAAAGAGCGCAGGCAACTTTTTTCTTAGTTTTTTACTCTATTTAATGGGGTGGATGTGTACTATGGTCGTTGCTGCTGCCCAAGAGTAGTGGGAGTTTGCGCGCAGGACTTTTTTTGTATTCGTATTCACAACAGTATATTTTGAGCCAATATTCTCAGCCAAACTCATTAGCCCAAGCAGCACAGAAAGCATGGACAGCTGAGGACTCCTGTTAAGATTAAACATAAAAAAAACAAAAAACACTGTCTGGAATATTTTTGTGCGTTTTATTCAATATAACCACTGAAGTGAGAAAGCAGTTACATTCACTACCTACATTATCAGTTCAATTGCTTGGTAACCTTTTACAAATACATGGGTTAATGGCTGGATTCATTAGAGGTTTTCTGTCCTCCCTGATGGTCTAGGACTCCGGCATAGGCAACCTTCAGCACTCCAGGTGTTTTGAGCTACACTTCCCATGATGCTTTGCCAGTGTAGTGGGTGTAAGAGCATTGTGGGGGATGTAGTCCAAAACATGGGGAGTGCCGAAGGTTGCCTATGCTTGGTGTAGGTGATCAGTGGTTCGTACATAATAGCAGGGGGATCGATGATTCTGACCAATCCTCCCCTGCCCAGTCCACACAGCTATTTCGCTGAGGTTTATTCGTACCTTACAAATACAAAATATCTGAAAACTGAAACTGACAAATCTCCAACCCTGGCAGAGATGTAGATACACACTTGCTTTTTAGTTAGACTTTTGTAAAGATATAGGGGTGTTTGTTTTCTTTTTTAAAACTTATTTGAATTAAAGCTCAGCAACTCCTTGCCTATTATGACTTTTTCTTGTGAAATCTCAATGTGAATGTTTAAAATTATATATTTTGGTGAAAGCAGGAATGCATTTTTAATTAGTATGTTATTGTTCAAGGTATAATTATCTATATACCAATATACTTTACTTGCCTTAGGATTAGTTTTGTTAACTGTGTTTAGGTTCTATATTAAAAGGTGCATTATTTCAAATATTCACAAAACAACTTTGAATTTGCTCTTTTGTTCTTTTCCCTCTGCAAAACTACTCTGCTCCAGAAGTCTGTATAGACAACAGGTGCCAATGTTCAGTTTAATAAATGAGCCATGGTCATGTCTTAACTCTTAATTTTATTGTATTTATCACACACTGTATTTATTTACTAAATTAAATACAATTTGTACCATATACCTTGGGCAATTAGGTAAATAATTTAATCTTTTATAAGTAAGCATTAAAATAAAATATGTATTAGCAGAATACATTTGAAATTTGTGTATTTAGCAGGATGGAGAAATAAAATTCTCTTTAATCTGTATTGCATTTATTTTCATGGTGGTTTCTCGTGTTTACTTTATTTTCATATTCTTGGTATTAAAATGTTTTCATCTTAGAATTATATGACTAAATATGTTGCCTTGGCTGATGTAGGCAATGTGTAAATCATGTTTCAGACCCCTAAATTCCTATTGTTGAAGATCATCCATCTATAGAGGACAATGATATGATAAACATGTTCTACCATTGAAAATCAACTGCAGTTAAAGCTACATTTGCTGTGAGCGCACACTGTCTATTCCTCCCATTTGCTTTACTGACCTTTTGCCCTGTTGGCTTCAGCGTATTTATCATACTTTATCGTACAGGTGAGTGGACATGAATAGCCGCCATCATTGGTCCTGAAAGCCAGTTCTGCAAACAAAGTAAAAATTTTAGGTTTAGAAAGGGCTTTATTTTTTTTTTAAAGTAACCACATGCATATTATACCCTATAGTTTCCCTTTAAGATAGACACTGGGTACACAATTAAATATCTCGCAAGGTATGAAATAGTTAGAATATATATAATATTGAAGACAATTGACTCTAGTTTTCCCTTAAACCTTTTGATGTGTCCATGCTTATTAAAATTCTGCCTGATCTGTAACCATCGCTTTTACTATAAGAAAATAATAAATATACTGGGGTGGGGGGGCTCTTTGCGCATTTAACATTTCTTAGAGTGCTGAGTATTGCAGTATCACAGCCTGTGTAGTTTAGCAAAAGAGCAATGCTAAAGGTTGCTTCCATGACATCAATTTCAAATCGAAATGTAATAAAAGTATAGAGGATTATTCACTAAAGTGTGAATTTCTAAATTTTAGGCAAAAATTAGCCGAACGGGAAACTTTTTTAAATAAGGAATGTATTCTGCCAGCCTGCGCCACTTCCATAGAAAGTTAAAGCACAATTACTTAAAGACTTTATACGACGGGAAGTCAGTCTGAATTTTGTATGGTGTATAAAAGTGTATTTTACATTACCGTTCATAGTATTCCACAGCGATGGGTTAAATTAATTGCTTACAGTTGATGTAAATTTTATAATATGCTATGCTTTAAAAAACCAGTACAATCTGAAGAGGCTAGAAACAAAATGTGTTGTGAGGGGCGGTGTTGCATTTTATATTGTTTATAATTTTTTTATCTTTTTATTTAATCGTGTTGTCCATTGTGTAGACCTTGCCCCCGACGAATTCTTGTTAACATTTTATTGTAAACAAGTGTAAACTGAGTTTGTCACTTACAATACAATTAAATCTATTCTTTATACACATTGTTATTTTTTTTTTTTATTAATTCATGTCCAGAATTTGTACATTATAGGGTTTCTAGGGCCACATTCTAAAACTGTTATCAAAGTTTATCCAAATGATTGCCTGCATGGATGGGTTCAGTCCTGAATGCTGTTTCCTTGATCAGTAAAATGCTGCTTGCACCTCCAATTCCTGAGTAGTGAAACAAATAATGTTATACTAATCCTTAAAACTAGATCTAAAATAAGTTTAAAGTTTATACTATTATAATAGGTAGTGTTCTCATCCTTGCGGATTATGGCAATCATCTTATAAATATCTACCTTAATGTATAAAAATCTTGCTCTATTCACATATTCGTCAGAGGTAATTTATGATAAACTTTACCCATGTTCCATAAGGAAAATAAATTGAATGCTAAAAATGTAAACACTTTAAAAAAAAAAAAATTTTTATACTTGACATTTATTACTCAAATACATATAATTGCCTGAACACATCCAGTCATACAGGACATAGGTTTTTAAAGGTCATGGTGTTTTAAATGGTCCTCCAAGAGTTAAACTTGGGTTAGAATCCACAAAAATATAAGCAACAGCTATGATTAAAAAAAATCTACTTTATTTAGAACATGTTAAAATGACTCCAAAAATCCATCTCACCATATGACAGACAAGCGTATAGAGGGACAAAGTTCAGACCAACAGAAAGAATCACAAACCCTATTAACAGGTTTCACATCTAACCGTGCTCATAAGAGACAATAAAACAAAACCATAATCTTCACATAAGGTAGGTAAACCAAACTCATCAAGAGAAAATAAAAAGATCAAAATGCACGAAAATGCTTTATAAAAGGTAGTCCTGATCACTTGGATCAAGGTCTCGCTGCTCCGTAGAGCAACTTCAGTGCCAGACACAAACACATAAACAAAACCTTAATGTAAAGTAAAATACACCATACACAGGTTCCCGCTGCAACCAGAAAGTCACTAAAGGCGCACACTCTCTGGCCTCAAAGGAGAGTCTGTGGGAGAAAGGGGTCATGACGCACGGAGCTGTATCCCTAAATCATCCGAGTGTAAGAGAGGGGCTTAGCTTCCCCAGGAAGAGGCTTAAAATATAATTAAAAATAATACACCAGTGAGCCACACAAGAAAAAGATAATCTCCAAATAAAGCCCCACTCCTGTAACCTGACTAGCCCCTTGTAGCTCCCCCATCCTCACTGGGATGTGTGTGGTGGCTGTGTGTGATTATCTACTGCACAATTATTATTATGGTATTTATAGAGCGCCGTCAAAGTCCGCAGCGCTTTACAATGGGTGGACGAACAGACATGTAGTTGTAATCAGACAAGTTGGACACACAGGAACAGAGGGGTTGAGGGCCCTGCTCAATGAGCTTACATGCTAGAGGATGATAATGGCGCATGATAATGTATGGTGCTTAACGAAGTGTGGAATGACTGAGTTGGATTGTGTGTGTAATAATCTTAGTATTGAATTGTAATTCTAACACAGATAGGCAGGCAGACAGACAGACATATAAGAGGCAGGCACACAGACACAAGCACCTACAGGGCCAGGCAGAGGTGGAAACAAAAAGATGGACACACACCTACAGTCAAGGGAAAAAGAAAAGTACATAACAAGCATCTGTTCCTTAACATGACTTAATTTTGTAAATTCAACCTTAGAGAAACCACGTATGATACATACCACCTTTATGATTTAACCCCTTAAGGATGGAGGCAATATTTCTGTACAACCGTAATTCATCTCTTTCATTTGAAGTGCACCCACACTTATCATATATCATTTTGTTCAGGAAAGACATGGATTTAGTTTCACATCAACTATGGTGCAAACACCTCATATGAACTGTCAAGCATGATGGTGGCGGGGTAATGACTTGGGCATGTTTTGCAGCCATACCAAAGTATTATAGAGTTAAATGTGAGGCCATCTGTCCAACAGCTAAATTGGCCGAAATTGGGTCATGCAACAGGACAATGATCCCAAGCACACCAGCATATCTACAACTGAATGGCTCACTGGAACATTGAAAAAAAAATAAAAGAATGAAGGTGTTGCAAAGTCCTGACCGCAACCCGATTGAAATGCTGTGGCGGGACCTTAACAGAGCAGTGCATAAACAAATGGCAGCAAACCTCAATGAACTGAAGCAACGTTGTAAAGAAGAGTAGGTCACCCAGTAAATATACCCCGATCCCACCTAGCAGAGCTGCAATCACGGCATTCCTTTAAGTGGAGAAGGGACTCCATAGCTTATCTTGGGACACAATTGTCAACCTCGAAACAGGACATATTGAAACATAACCACTGTAAATTACTGACAACTATATCAGGACTGCTAGGCAAAATTGGGGATAAGAACTCGTGGATGGTCGCATAAATGCCACAAAAATGATTATCTTACCACAAATACTTTTTCTCTTTAGAACGCTACCAATTGAAATTCCCAAACCAAGGGGCATTAAGATCGTGATACAACTTTTAGATGAGGGAGGAACTCGGAAGTTCTCTGACTTACAACAGACCTATGCACTGCAGTGTTTGTGACTAAGTGGCTACTTAACTTCCGTAACGGCTTTAAAGCCCATTTAAATGGGGACAGCATAGAACGCCGTAACGGCATTAAGGGTTAGTCAGGCTTTGAGAGTCAAATCAATGCCTTCTGTAAGTTATTCAGCCTATGCCAGTCAGTGGCAAAGCAGTTCCATGTTTTTGCGGGACAGCTCATGTCCAGCCAGGAGATCAGCTGCCTCTCCCCAACTCTATGCACACCAGGCCGGCTTGCCAACTCCATCCGGACAGCCGCCAGTGACCGCTGGGGGCAACCCCAAGCCTATCAATCAATCACTGCCGGACACAAAGGAGTCACTTGCTGCTCAATGTATACTGGAAAAAACCTAGGCGACTCCCTGCCCTCCCTGTATTTATCAAATTTTTAAGACCTGCTAAGGAAGAGAGGATTGTTATGTCCTGATATGTAAAACCATATAATTCAAAGAGGTTGTACGGTCTTTTTCCCATGACTGTAGACATGGGCATAAACAGCCATACACAAACTCAAGCACAGGCTTACGCACAAACACAGACATGCATAGACACACAAACAGGCACATGATGACACACACAGATATAGAGGCACATACACACTATAAAAATAAAATATTTGTATTTAAGTATGCAGTAGCTGATTAACTTCTGCAGGTCCAGCGGTTGCACACCTTGACCAATGTGAGGAAAAGGAGACAGAAAGTTGCCGGGCACTTCTAGCCCTAAATCAATGCTCCATTGCTGCCATGCTGTTCCCCTGCCCAGTCTCCTTGGCCGGGGATGGAAGCAGCACCTATGGATTCCTGGGTAAACTGTAGAAGTGTGCCCCTTTCATTCCAAGATGAAGAATTAAAAAGGACCAATGTTGGCACCATAACAACTTCATTGAAATTGAGTTGTTATGGTGCCAGGATGTCCCTGGCACTGGCTCACCTTTAAGGGTTAAACAGTTTAAGCCCAAAGATTGTATTTCAGCACCAAATCTCCCTGCCTCTCTGTCCTTACAGTTTCTGAAAACCGGAAGGCTCTTGCAGAATCTGGCAGCAGCGCCACTGATCACAGACTCACCATTTTAAAAAAATCTTGAAAATAAAAATAAATAAATAAAAACTAAAAAAAAAAAAAGGCACATTTCTTTTCAAGACAGTTTTGAATGGGGAGCCAATGATTGGCTGAGAGCATCAGCTGACTGCAAGAGATTTCCAATTTCCAGATTTAAAAAAAAAATTGGAAAAATACAAAGGCAGAGGGATTCGGTGCTGGAACAAATATTTTGTCGTTAAACCCTTAGAGAATGGTTTAAACCCTTAAAGTGAGCCAGTGTCAGATACTTCTTGGCATCATCACAACCTTTTGATGAAGCTGTTATGGTGCCCAGGGTATTCCTTTAACAAAGTGATTGGTCAGAGGAGCAGCATTGAATTTAAGTTCACCGCGATACTGTTGGACAGGAATTTAATAGTTATTATATTGCCAAATCTGCAATATACTAAATAACAGTTTTGCAACGGTGCCCCTTGTGCAGACGGGACTCAGGGACTTGGTCACAATAGCAACCACTGTGACTCTGGTAATTCCTAATTCCGCCACTGAAGACAAGGGTACACTGGTGGAGCTACCAGGGTGCAAGGGGCTCTCCCTTCCAAAACTGTTAATTAATAGATTGCCTATCCGCTTCCTCCATTGTCCTAGCGCTCAGTGAATGAATGCAACCAGGTTTCCATGGCAACGCTCTGACTCATTCACAGAGTGCTGTTTGGCTGATGCAAAGCACAGCAAATGTTCTTCTCAAGGTGCAGACCACACGCTTCCTCCAGTAGACCGACATGGATACTATGGGATGCCAATAGACCACCAGGAATTAATGGATTATACCTCTCCCTCCCTGCAAATAATTTTTATTTCATGAAATGTTCGGATGTGTGGGAAGGCTGTGGAAGACAGTCTCTCTCTCTCTCTCCCTCCCTCCCTCCCTCCTTCCCCCCCCCAATATTGGCCTGGTGCTGATCAGCAAAAAACATAGAAAGGTAAAGTAGATAGCACCCCTCGGTCTTTCTTGTTAGTAAAAAATAGCTTTTATTGCTCCAAATCAACGTTTCAGTCTGCTGCTGCAAACTTTCATCAGGACATAGTTAACATATCAAACAAACCCACTTATATACCCACAACCCATTGATCAATAAACTCATCCCACCTGGGACTAGGGACTACTTCATGGACCACCCGGTCTGATTCCCCGCCAAACGGGGTATGATGACGTTATTACCTCTGCGCCGTTTGCTACCCTACATACACACATATATTTTTTATATATATATATATATATATATATATATATATATATATATATATATATATATATATATATATATACACACACACACACACACACACACATACATATACACACATACATACATACACACACACAAAATTCAGATTCAGTAAAACCCCATCAAACTCAGCCAGTCACACACACTTTTTAGCTTAGTTTAAGAATATTATGGATATGGGGGGATATGTATGAGTGCCATTATATGTATCTGTATCTTCATGTGTCAGTGTATCTGTATGTGCGGCAGCAGGGCCAGTGCAAGGATTTTTGCCGCCCTAGGCAAAAAAGATTTTACTGCCCCATTCGCTCCACCCATGGTGTGACATCACAATGCCCAACCCCATATGATCCACCCATGTCATGACATCACATAGAATTGCCAGGAATTTTAAATGAATTTCGTATTTAAGTAAAAAATAGCCGGGGACGGAGCCTGACCTCACAAGTGAATGGCAGCGTAATGCCTGAGCTCTGCCAAGGCCTAACCTAAATCCGCAGCCATCAAGAGCACCTGAGCCCTCAAAAACCCCAAAAACCTCTTCCCCACCCACCCCACCACCCATACTCACCCCCTCAATGGGCGGAGGCAAGAAATCCCGCAACTCCTCTTTCGCACCAATCTTCGGACAGAAGCCCGAGAAGGCCCAAGCGCCATCTTTAGAACACTCACCGTTGGAATCCGAATCCGAAATGAGCAGCCAGGCAACCTCGGATAGAACAGAGGCCCCGCTAACTCGACGGGGATTCATTGCGGATTTCCGAAAATATGTGGCAGAGGAGCTGGACGAAAGACTGTGCCCGATTATAGAGGGCATGGTGGACCTCTCAGCACGCACGCAGGCCTTGGAGACCAAAATGTTGGAGGCAATGGAAACTGTGCACGCACATGGCGGCGAACTACAAGACTAACGGGACTAATGGACCGCACACATCGGGCCCTGAGAGCCCCAAGCACCAATACAGCCACCCCAAGGGACATCATAGTGCGGCTACATTTCTACCACATTAAAGAACGCATAATGAGAGCCACCAGGGATACCCCCATCGAGGTGGAAGGAGTTCCAGTCCAACTGTACCAGGACCTAGCAACGATCACCCTGAAGAGAAGAGACCTGTGCCCACTCACGCAACACCTTAGTCAACACGGCCTCCAATACGTCTGGGACAACTCCTTCAAGATCATCATCCACAAGGACAGCAGGTTCCACTCCATCGCAAGGCCCGCAGAAATTCCCGTTCTCCTACCGCAGCTCCCCGAGACACTCTATCCAATCTCGGCCCCACCCCGCAGTAGACACCAGGCAGCAACTTACCAGCCAGAAACAGAAACCGACAGCACTGGAACACGGCACCACAAAGACCGGACTCCACACGCTGCTAAAACAGGGCGAGCAACAACGCGCGATCGACCACCCGACAGCGCCTCACCAAAGACCCACCGACCCACCGTCCACAGACTGGCCACACACCATCCAAGCTACAACCCAGCTTGAAAATCTACTGACCAGGACTCATCACCCACATACACTGCCACAGCGACGGACATTACAAACCGCTCCGAGGACTGTTACCCAGGTGATATGTGGCACCGCCATCCAAGGACTGATCGCAAACCTCAGAACACACAGACCCTAGAGTCAACCCGTAAACCAGGAACAGTCATCCAGCCACGCATTACGGAGTTTTGGCAGAGGCAGACACACACAGGTCTGTCACCCAAGAGCTGAGGACACAGAGCTGCAAGTATAACACAAGGGGTACACCACACACACGACCTGTTACGCGACAAGCAAAGCTCCTCCCGTCTGCTGTTGACCGGCCTCTGGCCAGAGCACCCAGTACCACACCTAGCCCTACTGCTTGATCTCTTGACACCAGGGTAGAGAAGAAAGTTACGATGGAGGTTGAGGGGACGGGGGAGTGCAGGACCGGGGGCCGGGAGGGGGGTGAGAGTGAGCAAGCGGGGACACAGGGGACCTCTTTGCAAGCTGGGATACCCCCCAAACAACAACTCATACACAAAGATGGGGGATGCCTCAACCGACCTAACGCACTGACCCAACCTACAGACTGAAGCAACTCTAAGGAAAAACACTGACCACAGGGGAACCCAACAACCAAGGCACGCACCAGCCTAAGGGTAGACCAATTCTTATATACACATTCTTACACATTAGTACCACCCACAGGGTTTTGGAAAACAACCAATAAACACGTACAATACACTCAGACACTCCCACACAAAATCCTCCCCTCTGCCTGTGATACAATTACCTTACACAATGGGTTAGTATAATTATCACAGGCAGGAAAATACACAGTTTTACACAATATTAATAACTTTAAAAGTATGCATCACATTCACATAAAACTTACATTTTCAGAATCAGCATACTCCAACATATCATACAAATTGGTCCAGTGGTTCAAAAGATAGATTGTAGTCCTTTGTGACCAAATAAAGCATGGCTTTTCTGCCCAAAACCAGTACCACAGAGTCTTCTATCCTGGAGATAATTGGGAAGTAATCCAATTATCTCCAAGGACAGAGGCAAAACTCAATTAGCCACATGGTAGCAAAATACAATAAAATACATAAAAATATATAACTGTGCAGCTATTGCATAAAACAGGTGCATTCATATCCCCAGATAGCTTAGATCTGAGCACACATAGTACTGAATGGCGCTCAGATCACATGCATACAGTTCAGTTGCCATGGAGCCAAAGTCTTTCACATAGTCTTTCGTTATACGAATGGGCTCCATGGCATAACTATCTGGGGTAACACTGCTCACATAGGGAAAGTACCGAATGACCCAGCTTTTGGGTCTTTGCAGGGGAAAATCAAGCATTTCAACATGGGGCCATAGTCACAGGGCAGGAGGCTGGCAATCAGTCTTCTCCAATGCCCAGTGGCGAGGCTGGTTCCACCACAAGCACTTAAACCCCACACGCAGAGCACACATACCCGGGGCTGTTGCGACGGGGGACCAGCACACAGGAATCCTTAGACCTCCACTGCAAGGGAAGGCACCCCACCAACCCTGGGGCCGCACTAGACGAACCCACCCAGACCAGCGAGTCATGGCAGCACTAGCCGCTCATTCCCCTCTACCTGGGTCACACCCACACAAACTCACACCAATCCGACTTACACCGGCCGGGGACGAGACGGGGGGTATGGAAATGGAGAAACAAGCATGACATGGGGGACACATACCAAACCCCCCCCCCACCCAATCCGCTCAGGCCCATTCCCCCCCAAAAATAAAAAAATTCAAGTAACGGAAGCAAGGGCGTAACGCCCGAGCCGTCCCCCATTGGGACCACCGGATACAGGCTGTACTAGACCTACACGGGGTCCCTGTTGGGTGGCATAAACCTTATTTTTAAGCCTTTTAGTATTTTATGGGCTTAACTTTTATAGATTAATTCATCTGAGAACATGGATTCAGACTCATAAGTTCAAAGTAAAAGGCCACTATCTAAATCTCAGGGGTAAGCCCTTTCTATATTTTTTCTTCTAAACAAGAGAGAGCTGGCTAATATTTTTCCCATATTATAGTAGTACTAAAAAGGGAAAAAGACAACTGGAACATCCAAAGGAAAGTCTCCCGCAAGGTCCTTATGCGAAGCATGTGACAAGAGGGCCCTGGAGGGGAAGCGCCTATGCTCAGATTGCCTATAGGCCACAGGATGTCCCGCATCATCCACCCCGGATTTGATGCAAATTATTCAAAATGCTGAATCCCAAGGCATTAGAGAGGCTGGCTGAGCCCACAAAAGACCTAGATATCCAGACCCTCCCGACTACTCCCAATACGACTCTTCGGATGTGTCAGTGGAGGAGACATACAGGGAGAGGTCATCTTTCTCGGATGAGGAAAAACAGTACGCTCCTGACACTTTGGACTCAACCGAAGTGGATCACTTAATTTCCAGGGTCCGCAAGTCTCTGAGCATGAAGGAACCTTCAAGAGAAGAGCCTTCTACATCTAGTCGATACTTTTCTGACCTCAGAAAAAAGAGGGTTACTTTCCCGGTTCATGAGGCAATTAAGGGCATCATCATGGAAGAATGGTCTAAAACAGAGAGGAAACTTCCCAATCAGAGGGGAATTTCTCGCCTTTACCCTTTTGACAAAAAGGACGCAGGTCACTGGGAGTCAGCCCCTAAAGTGGATGCAGCGGTGGTAAGACTGGCCAAGCACACCACATTGCCAGTGGATAATGCAGGATCTCTAAGAGACTCCATGGATAAAAAGATGGACTCTAACCTGTCCAGGGCCTATGTGGCAGCAGACACAAGCCTCCACCTTGGTCTCCAGGGCTTTGAAGATCTGTCTGGAAGGCTTGGAGGAGGATATCAAGGAGGGCAGAAGCAGATCTAACTTCATGGGCAGTCTACAAGACATTAAGCTGGCCGTAGATTTCACTACTGAAGCCTCAGTGGATATTGTCAAAGCAGTTGCCAGGAACATGGCATTTTCGATCTCAGCTAGAAGGGCTTTTTGGCTCAGATCCTGGTCAGCAGATGCTTCATCTAAGCATAGCCTCTGCTCTTTACCGTTCTATTGAGACATGCTCTTTGGGAAGAACCTGGATGATTGCATTAAGAAAGCAGCAGATGGCAAGAATGCTTTTTTACCTCAAGATCGTAGGCCTAAGAGATCTTTTCGACCCAAGAGACCTTCAGATCAATCTTCCTTTCAGGACTTCAAATCCTACAGGCCAGGTAGAGAATACGGAAGATCCCAGCCTTGGAGAGGGGGACAGTCTTCAGTCAGGGGAGGAAGATCCAGAGGCTCTGCATTCAGCAGGAACACGAGAGCTTTATGATGGGTTGATCTCCCAGCCTGGAGGGGTAGGAGCACGCCTCCTCCTATTGCAAAAGAGATGGGAGTCTTCTACCATAGACAAGTGGGTGCTGGACATCATCAAAAGAGGATATCTTCTGGAATTCAGAGATGCCCCACCTTGTCGCAGTTTTCAAATTACATGATGGCAGGGAGACAGAGACAAGAGATTGGCTCTTCTGGAGTTTATTTCTTCCCTACAGCAAGAATGCGTCATTATGGAGGTTCCAAAGGAGGAAAGAACACACAGGTTTTATTCTCACCTATTCCTCACAAAGAAGTCCTCAGGAGCATGGAGACCCATTCTAGATCTTCACACTCTCAACAAGCGATTGAACGTAAGAAGATTCAAAATGGAGTCGCTTCAGTCCATCATCACAGAAGTCTTCGCAGGGCAATGGCTGATGTCTGCAGATCTGCAAGATGCCTACTTCCATGTTCCGATCGCTCAACTGCATCAAAGATATCTGAGATTCGCAGTAGAAGGAGGGCACTTCCAGTTCCGAGCCCTTCCCTTTGGCCTCAGTACGGCTCCTCGCACTTTCTCAAAGATCCTGGTGATCCTGATCGCAGAATTAAGAAAGAGGGGCATTGCCATTTTTCATTATCTGGATGACATCCTGGTGCTGTCAGAGGACAGGTACCCTCTCAAGCAACAGGGACAGATCTGCATTCAGTTCCTGCAGGAACACGGCTGGAAGATAAATGGAGAAAAGAGTCACCTTATTCCTTCACAGTCCATGCTTTATCTAGGAGCCCTGTTCAACACTGCACTGGGGACAGTTCAGCTCTCAAGAGAAAGAGGAGTAAAGCTCATCAGAAAGGTGAAGGAGATACGACAAGTCAAGGTCGCCACAGCAGAGAAAGTCATGAGCTTACTAGGATCCATGTCATCAACCATAGGCTTGACAAGATGGGCACAATGGAGAATGAGAACACTCCAGAGGAATTTTCTTTCCCAATACAGATGGAAGAATCTACTCCAGCCCATCAGGATTTCCACCCTGGAGTCAGGATTACTGTTTGATCCAGCACGTAGAACTGTATAGCA